GCTACCAAAGTTAGTGTGTGCTTTTAATACCTGGCACTGCATCAGTGCCCTCTGCAGCTCCTCCCTCCAGTCCTCCAGTGAGGCGCCGAGCCGGTCCCAGCGCGAATTCATCTCCTTCAGCCTGTCCCTCAGCTCCCACGCCTCCTCAGAGTCGGGCTCTGATTGGAGGAAGTCAGCACTGCTCAAGTTGATGGACAGGACCTCTGACTTGTGAGCATCCATCCCCTTCTGCAGCTCCTGTATGGAAGAGAGGTGATTAATTATAGAGTGCTGGAGCAATGAGCCAGGCATCAGAGAGAGGAAGCTGAGAAAGATGTATTTATAGCATAGTGACATGCTGCTTTCTAGTAATCGAAAACTAGTGGAAATACCTAAATGTGAGTGTTTGGGGAAGGAGGAAAATGTCAGCACACTGCACTGGAAGTTTGACAGGTGACTAAATAACCGCAGATTTGTTGGACTTTCTGCAACGCTGCACTCTGCATGCACCCACCTTGAGCTTCTTGATTCTCTGCTGGATGGTGTGTATGTCAGTGCTGAGATCGAGGCCTCGCAGTTGGCTGAGTTCAGCCTCCGAGTGACCGAGCCAAGCCCTCAAGGTCTGCAGATCTGAGATCAGCTGCTGCCACTGCTGCAGGTTCTGTTTGTGTTTGTGCTTCTCACTTAGAGACTGAGCCTCGATCAGCTCCCAGCGCTCAATCACACCTGGAGGGAAAACAAATGATGGAACCACAGCCCACACAGTATCTGCAGTGTGTGTGTGTGTGTGTGTTTGTGTTTACTGACCGGCGCTCTGTGTGTCTGTGTTGGTAGGGTTGGTGAGTCCCGGCATCTCATCCTCATCTTCGGTCAGCTCTCCTTCTGCTCTCTTCACTGCGTCTATGCTGCTGCGACACTCTCCCATCAGACGCATCTGTGAGGAGAACATGAGCCACATGGCATTTACTGCATTTACATCACGCTTTAAAAACCTTTGTTTAAGAATAAGAAGAGAATTAGGGATAAAAATCCTGCATGTAGGCAAGATGCAATCCATTCTAAAGTAACACTGATCATGATTAACTATTACATCACTACTGGACTTTAGTTGGGTTTTTTAGGGCGTTTAATCTATCATTAAGATCCAAATGTATGATCTAAACCTTCATATTACAATGTTATAGTTTTTACCATTCATTGCTTGTGTCAGTCTAGTGGTTAAACTATTTCCCTAATGTGCAGAAGATCCCTGTTTTGAGAGCAGAAGGGAACACAAATCCCTGGGAGGCTTTGTGTCAGTGCAAAAGTCTGCACACCCATCTGCTGCTGTGACCCCCTTTAAACAAGGGAGCAGCTGAAAGAAGCTACTACTGCTGCTATTCATCATTTATGTTGCTTTAAGACATCAAAGGAACATGAGGAAGACTCACGTAGCCCATGTAAGTGGAGTCCACATCGGGGCTGACCCGGTTGGCAGTGGCTTCTCTCTGCTGGAGGTGATACCGCCCTGCGTCCAAAGCCTGGTCCAGCTGCCTGAGACTGGCCTCCAGCTGGCCTGGCTCACCTGCACAAAAAGCACAAGCAGATCTACATAAACAGAGAAGTAAACGTTTCAATAACACAAATCTTTATTAGCATGCTTGTGGTGTTGAATGGGGCTGAAATGGCATGCATTAGTCTGAAACGCAACATACCGGCAAGCCATCGCAAACAAGAGCTCAGTTTTATGATATTAGATGTGACACAAATGTGGACGCACAATACTAAAAATGCGGTGGTTATTCAGTGAGTGAAAACTCATGCCTGCATGCAGCTATACAAAGATTTATCTAGATGGTTGGACATCCAGCCTGTTTAAAAAACAAAAACAAACGTGATTTAGTTGACGGCATGCGCTTCTAACTCGTGCTGTTTCCTACCAGAGGATGATTTCAGTGTTTTCTCTGTCAGTTTTATATAGGCCTCTGGGCTCTCTGGGATAACTACATCTGGGAAGAGACATACAACAGACACTACTTACAATGCACACACGACTCTGAGGGATCTCTGAGGGATCTCTTTCTTCGATTGAATTAAGTCTTTAACTATTTAACAATGAATTTGTAGTGATTCCAATGACAAGTGTTTACGTGTGAGCTCATTTTGTGCTTTTCTTATTTATAAAAAATATTATAGGTTGTGTTCTTGCCTGCAGACAAATGTCACATGTTAAGCTGCTCTGCTGTGCACTAATTTAAGACTGCCTTTGTGTCCCCTGTCACAAATAAAAAAAAACATGGTACTTTCTAGATATTTATTTATTTTTATTACACTGAATTTAATTGACATAATTGAATCTTTATTAATTTTTCACATCCACCCCTCTGCTGACAGGGCAAATGTGTGATGTCATCCATGCTGTTACTGCAAAACTTTAAACTATTTATTCTATTATAGTCCTATCCTATTATATGTATATGTGTATATATGTACTTAAGCAAGTCCATCAAAACTGTTTATTTCTGGGAAATGTTAAATCAAGCTAATCATCCATCAGACCAACCTGATAGTGCTGTGGCAGCCGTCCTCATATACTCATCCTCGTCCTCTTGCCCTTGGCTTCTTTCCCCATTGCCTCGTCCTGAGGGGCTCTCCAGGCCTCTGCTCAGATCGTAGTCGTGGTCCCACTCTAACGGGATTGAGTCCACGCTGGCCGGGGTGTCTCTGCCTGAGCGGTCGGCCCGGACGAGAGCCACGGTGCCCGAGGCTGGACGCGCTGATGTCCGGGGCAAAGAGGAGTCGCTCCACTGCATTTCAGAGAGGTCTCCTCCATCCTCCATGTCCAGCTCTCTGTCTGAACCGTCGAGCTCATCGTCTGCAAGCTGAATGAGACAGGCGAGACGAGAGATATAGTTAATGTTGTAATTTCAAACTAAAACATGACAGAGTGCAGTTTCTAAGGACTAGGTAGGTGAGCATGTGTATTGAAATGTTGACATCCTAATAATCATGCTCAGTGTCTTTGTCCGGCATGTTTACACCATGTCAGGAGTGTGAAGATGTGTTTATTTTAACACCTTGGGTCCTGGAAATAAGCAGAAGTGCAACTTGTAAATACAAGAAAACTAAAAACAAAGGAAGTTGCCACTGCAATGAGAGTTCATGCTTCATTTCTGACATTTCAATAGGACACGTTTTTCACATTAATCAGAATTTGCTTCATAAAAACACATCTGCTTGCACTTTCATTCAGACTGTTTGCCGCGTACCCTTTGACTCAAATCTGCCCTGAAAGCTTTCTGCATGTGGGGTAGAAAATTCTTAACCTGCTCCTAAATATTGTCGATATTCAGAAATTCGGCAGGCTAGCTTTCTTATTTTTACTTACAGGGAGTCGTGTGAGTTTCTTGTAGTATCTGTCCACTCGTCCGAAGACCTCCTGACAGTATCTTTGCAGCTCCTCCAGCTCCTCCTCGATGACAGCTGCATCCAGAGGTTCACTCTTCTCAATCAGAGCATCACCCTGCCTGAACACCAGCTCGATCTTCCCCGTGTTCAGGTAGATCTCCTGCTGAAACGCCTGTTGAGAAACAGGTTTTGTTTTTTTTAAATTTACCCAAAATTAACTAGACATGTCAAAAGCAGTTCTCAAGTATTGTGATTTCATCAAACAAGAGAGAAAAGACAATAGTATGCTGCCATGCACTCAAAAAATCGTCTTACCCTGAGCTGTTTGATTTTGGCCTGTACGTCACACTCGGAGAAGTGCTCTATGTTGGTGAGCTGTAGGTCCATCTCAGTCAGCCACACCAGGATGCTATCACGTGCAGTCTCAAACTCCTCCCTCTGGCTGATGAAGTGCTGTGAAAGACAAACAGCCATGCTTTATGATTTCAGATTTTGGATATTTGTTTTCAATAAAGCCAGTGCCCAGAGAAAGAAAAGAAATAAGCTCAATGGCAAGGGTGATTTCAAAAACCTCACTGTCCTCAAAGAAAGCTACCTTTAGCCTGCGTATGACTGCAGCCACCCTCTTCTGCAGGTTGTCCCATCGCCTGTTCCCATCGTGCACCATTTCCCTGAGACGGCAGGAGGAGTCTGTGCGGTTTTCCCGGGCCAGACGACGATACTGCTTGTTGATGAGCTCTAGCTGGGTCAGGCACTCCTGCACCTGACGCTGGAAAGCCTGCAACACACATAAGTCCAGAGGAAAACGGATATATATTACACTACACAAATACACAAAGATTACAGATGATTATAATGGTTATATATGGTTTAAGTTCAGATGATATAGCGAAAATAACAACTCTGAAAAGTGAAAGTCGCTGCAGTCGGCTAAAGATTTGATTCAAAAATAAACTTTGAATCAAAATCCTTAAAAGATGTGAAATTATGTCTAATTAGGCTCTTACATGTCAAATCTAATTAAAATCCTAAAATTTTACAATTCTACTAAAATGAATTCTCTGTTCAGCCACAAGTAGGACAGTTGGCGAAGGCTCAGGCGAGTCAGCTAGCAGGAATGTGCACGTGCACAGTGACAGACAGCAGCAGCTGAGCAGACCAGAGCAAACGAGTTTCTGCAATGTGACACTCTTCTTACTTCTGTCTCGATCTTCTCACATCTATCACTGTATTTTAACTGTATAAACACATGCAACTTGTGCAGCGGAGGCTGACCTTTACTCTTTGTTGTGTGAATAAATGTTAAATATGCAAACCTCAAACTTCTTGAGCTCCTCTTTAGCGACGGTATAGAGAACTCCAGAGGAATTAGGCAGGGCTGCTGTTTTTTCTGAGGTCTTGAGCCAATCCTCAAACCTGCCGTAATCATCCAGGAACTTCTGCCACAACCTCCAAGTTTCTTCAATCCTGCAGAGAAACAAGTTACAGTATGAACGAGCTCACTAAATGTTCTGAAATCAATATATGTCACTGTATTACTTGTATCAGAGGTGATAGCAAATTGTCATGATTCTGAAGCTGATTGAGGATTTGTTTGACTTTCAACACCAGTGCAGAATCTTGTTACAAATTAGGCAGAAGATGCACTGACTTGAGCCTCCTCTCCATGGACATGGCGCAGATGTTCCTCCAGCGTCGGTCCAGCCCTCTGGTGGCCTGCTGGATGGAGTCGCACTCCGTCTCAGTCGAGCAGGCATCGCAGTCGTGCAGCAGGACTTCGCACAGGTTCAGCACCGACGCCACGCCTGTGCTGTGTTTCTCTATGTCCCTTTGAAGCTCCTGGAGAACATTCAGAATAATTACTTGATTTTCAGGACCCATCTCATAAAGTTTTCTGAGAGAAAGCAAGCTCCTCTGGCACCATAAATTCATTCAGATAAGAATCAGCCCTCCTGGCAAACCACAGTAAATCCATGTGTAAGATAAGTACGTCTCTGGAAGAGGAACGAGGTTAGTGGGGTCCCAGAATCCAGACCAGATTTAGAGAAGCGTCTTGGCAGGAGGAAGTCTATTGACACCTACAGAGCACTGAACGTAAACAAACAGCTAGAGTCATGCTTTGATTTCCTCATGTGCTTCTGTGTCATTTTCCACCAACTTGCTTTGAGTCATACGGTCCTGCTATAATTAAGTCTTTGCAGAAAAAGACACACATTATACATATCTGCTTCTATGTGTTTGCAAAGGTGCTTATACATCTGAGCATTGCACTGTAGGTTTGTAAGACCAATGCCTACCACATGCTGGCCAAGTTCTGTAAATTCAAACGAAGGATGAGCACTTGTTTTCTTTATTCTGTTTTTTTTATTACCTAAAAGGCCCGTGAACACATCAGTAAATTAGCCTAGTAAAATTTACGCGTGTGTGTCTGGTTCCCACCTGCTGTTGGTTGAGCTTCCTCTGAATCTCCTGGTCATCACAGGTGTCGTAGACGATGGGCTTGGACAGCTCGGTCTCAATGTGAGCGAGCCATGACCGAAGGCTGCTCATGTTTTTATCCAACTGCTGTACCGCCACCAGGGTTTCCCTCAGCTTCTTCACCCTGGAACAAAGTCAGAGAAGAAGTCAGTGTCAGTACTGGTACGACTGTAAACTGTAAATAAGGGAAATCTAACGGTTTGCTCAGGTGGGTGACAGCATATAATATAAATAATTTAAAAAAACAGAATATAAAGGAATATGATGGTAAATTACACAAGCAGGCTTTAAAGAAGGAACTAACCAACCTTAGCATAATAGACTAAATCGAGTGTTATTTCACATGTGAGCAGATTCGAAGCCCATATGACAGCTGGGGACCATTTTGGATCTGTAAGTTCCAGACATTTTCAAACACTGACCCCTGCAATCTAGTGCTGTATATTAGGTGGCATCCAACTACAAGTTTTGTTCAGCAAGTGCAACATTCAGCACCTCGCCCTGCAAAGCAATGCAACCCTGTCTGTATGTCACCACACGGACGCAGTAAGAACGAGCGGCCGCTCTTTGTTGCATAAACATACCAAGGCCCATAATGTTCTAAAAATAGATGCATTTAGCATTAGCAAGTCTCCTCCACCTCATATAAAGTCCATTATTACACGACTGGCTGCACTGGGGTATGCAACCTGCAGCTGGATTTTGCTTTGCATGGGGTGCTGCATGATATCAGTTGCACACCACATCTCCACTTCCTAAACCTACCGTCACACTTGAAATACTATAGGATAAAACAGCTTGACTTTTTACATCACAGCGAAATAAAGTGAAGAGCTTTACAAGTAACCCTCATCAATGACAGACTGCAAATAATTCAAATAGGTAAACATTTGTTTAACTTGCTTTTTGTATGTGTTTGCACAGCTTCACTGCTTCCGTTCGGCCCAGATAAGATGTGAGCCAACAAATGATGCTGCTCTCACATGAACACCAACACACAACTGTCTTTTTGTTTTTAGCCTCCTCCTGAAAAATACCTAGCCTAGCTAACTAGCTAAGACTTAAAAAATATTATTAGCACAAATTAAACCAGATGTGCACTCATGAAGCTAAAATACTTGGGGCAACAAAAACCTCTATATTAGGCACTAATGACCTAATTAAAATATTATTTATATGCACTTCTACAAACGGTAGCAGGAGTATGTTAAAAATGCAACATAATGCATATGATTTAAGAGAAAACAACATTTTTGAAAAAAAATATAAATATAAAATATAAATTGCAATATAAATTCTTAAGGTCATCCTGCCTGCTGACATCGCAGTCGCAATCCAGCAAATCCTCCTCGCTCGTGCATCCTTCCATATTATCCGTACCCAAATCCAAAACCATGGGGGTGCGGGATTCCTAAAGACAATCTTAACCTTAGGAAGTGTCAGTCCGAACGCTCTGTTTCGTCTCTGAGCAGCACATGGGACTTTCTCTCAACTCTGTGTGCACAGAGTGGGAGGGCCAGCAGGTAGTGGCAGGGTGGCACAACTGTGACTTATCAACTGTTGCTCTCCAAGGTTAAAAAAAGAGAAGCTCCAACAGATATGTGTGTGTGTGCTCAAGTGCGAGTGGAGTGACAAGTGCTGCTGTTTCTAAAAAGAGACTTATAGTCAGAGGCATGTGCTGCAGAGCTGGACTGTGCTGGAATATCAGACACACAGAGGGAGCGTGAACAGCAGTAAGGACTGTAAACTTTGCGCTTGTACATGCAGCTCGATGGACAATAGTAATAAAACATGGCTTCCACTGAAAATACAAAATCCAAAGACTATGAAAATGTTAACTTACAACACATTCTGCTCAGTCTGTGAGAGGAACAAGGTCACTCTTCGTGTTTTGTTTTAGCAAAGGAAGGATATAAGAAACAAAGAGTCTGCAGCTGTCTGTGTGAGGTTAGAAAGAGTTCTCCTTTTCCTCCCTCCCCCAGTACAGTCCCAGAGGGGAACTGCCGGAAGACAGCAGACCGGGGCAGCTAGAGGCAAAGTTTGGGCCAGGTCACTTTCAATTCACTAATCCTACGTTGCTTACAGTTCTAGTTTCAGCGTGCATTTTTTAGTACCTTTCATATCAGCACTGAAACATAGTGGAGGAGTGATGAGGAATGTGACCTCTCTCTCAGCTTCACTAAATGAATGCCCCACTGATGCTGGTAAGGAAATTCCTCAGCAGCACTGTGGGAAAATTAATTCCCCACAGGCTCCAGTTCAACTAGTACCTCCTTGTTCCCACTAGGGGCCAGATTTACCACAGCATTAAACTGGGTTTTGGCATAAAAACTGTACTTTTGGTATTTACACAAAAAACACATGACAAGCTTGAGTGAAAGCAATGGGAACTGATCCTGTTGCATGTATTTTTAGGACTTCCTTTCTTTAGGGGCAAAATATAGGAAGGAGAACATATAAATCATGCAAACTGATTTACTAACATTTGTAACACTTTTGCAATTTACTAATTGCACTGATATTTAAAAAAAAAAAGCATGTCTTATTTTTTTGCAATTGATATTGAAATGACAACAGCACAACTATAAATCACCCATAAAACTAACCACACCTGTACTCACATGCTAGTTTGCCCCATTTAGTAAATCCGGCCTGCTTCTTATCAGCATTAAAAACACATTTAATTCAACATAATGTCCTGGTATTGTCCTGACACTGAAAACTGTTCGAACTTTAAGACAGCTTGGGAAACATTTACTACTTTAACTTTGTGATTTGGACATGGACCCTTCCTTTCAAGTCTCGTACACCCACCTGGCTGCAATGAGATCCAGCAGGTGTTGCCAGCGCTCGCTGACTTTGTTGAGTTTGTGCTGGATTTCCGTCGCCTTGCTGTCTTGGCTGGCCCTGGCCAGACGCTCACCCATAACCTGCAGCTGCTGCTTGTTCTCCTGAGCGACACTGATCTCCTCCTGGTAGTCCTGGTGTGCAAACATACATGAGGTTAACACAGTGAGGACTACAGCGGTTCAGTGCTGTAGTTTAGCTGTATTTTAGTAAGTCAAGACTGGCCATTTTCAGACTTCAAAACAAGCCAGACTCAACTCTTTCATTTGTCTGTACTCGATACTTCTGTATCAAAGCATACTCTTTAGTAGTTTCTTTACAAGTGCCTTAGACTGTTTTGAAATTACCTTGCGCAGCTTTTCAATCATCTCATCGATACTGATGTCCCCATTCTGAGAGACTTTGCTCTCCATCTGTGTGAGCCACTCACACAGTTCCTTATTCTTCTCATTGAACACAGCCCACTCATTCAACTTCTCGCTCACCTGCTGCCTGCGCAGGGAAAGCTGAGGGGACACGGGTGGAGACAGGGACAAGAGAAGGGGTGAGAGTGAGAATATGTGACAAAAGCAGTATCAAAAGTGAGCATATCAAGAGAAAGAATATAACTGGTGGAAAATGAATTAAATAGAAATTAATAGGATTTTAAAAACAGAAACCAGACTGGAGCAAAGTCCTTAAAAAAAAAGACACAAAAAAATGGCAGACACAACAATGTGTGTGTTTGCGTGGATGTACCTGATGGCAGACCTCCTCCCACTGGCGCTGTAGCAGCTGGAGGCGTTCTTGTAGAACTGTGATGTCATCAGCACTAACCACGCCCTCCAAAGAGTCTCTCAGCAGGAATAAGGAAGTAAGGTCATCGGTCCAGCCCTCCACGCTGCTCTCCAGCTCCTGCATCCATGACAACGAGAAATTAAGTAGGAAAAAAGAAGCAAGGCAAGCAGTCCCCACGTTCAAATGCAAAGACAGGAGCGAGCCTGTCGAGAGGGTTGATTAAAGCAGGAAAAACCACAGAGCATGCCTGCTGAAGCTGAGCTGCAGCACCTGCATCCCCCGAAACACCAAGAAAATGCAAAACAGCAAAGTGACAATGAATGTTAGAGGAAGGCGCGGTGCCAAATGCTATGATTCGACGTTGGTTTTCTGTAAATCCCTAAAATAACAGCAGCACATTATATTCAATGCAAAAAACAGCTACATTCAAGGCTAATAGCAGATAAGGTAACAGAGGCATCCAACCTTGCATCTCCTCCTCCGTCATTGTGACGGTTTTGCTGTGCTGTAATCATTTGCAGACCCAGAGCATGTCTCCATTACGCAACTCACACACACACAAAAAGGAAGCACGCACACACACACACACACACACACACACAGGGATGCTCTCTCTCTGTCTATTGCGTACGCACCCTCTCTCTCTCTCGTTCTCTTTCCCCACCCCCTTTCTCCTCAGCTGATTCTATGTGCAGCTACTCACACGGTCCTCCTCCTCCTCCACCTCCTCCCCCGAGGAGCAGCCGAGGACGTGTGATGCATGAAACATGACTGCATACACTATTGGGTGGAGATGAAGTAAAAGAAAAAAGAAAAAAAAAGAAAGATAGGGCCTGGGTCAAATTAAAAAAGTATTTAAATTAATAAAGGGTCACTTAAAAAAACAACAAAACAAAACAAAAAAAAAGTTTCGTAAATGACATGTCAAAGGAAAATAAAGCTACCCTGACTACCGCACACAAGGTCACGCAATCAGACAGCAGACTGATAGAAAAGGGCGTTTTTTCTGTTTCTTTTTTTTGTTCCTGCTCCGTCTGTTTGTCCGTTTATCCCCGCAGATAGATTAAAGAAGTAACGAGAGGACATGCCCGAGTTTGTTGATGTGTGAATGTTTAGACAGAGAGAGAGAGAGGGGGGATGTGACTGATGAGAAACAGCCAGTAGGATGGAGAGTGGAGAGGATCTACATATCAACACTTTCAGTAAAGCATTGAGCTAAAACAGAAAAATGAAGAATATTTAAAAGAGTGTGTATGTGTGTGCGAGAAAGAGAGAAAGTATCATATTCTCCTCACCTTGCATCTGATTTGCTCTGAGTGCAGCTCCTCATGGTGGTCAGGCAGAGGCACAGACAGCTTTCTCTTGAAGGCCCTCAGCTTCTCCAAAGACACATCTATGCCCTTCTCACATCGCTCCCAGTTCTATGCAAGCACACGCACAGTAAGAATTAGAGCAGAAAACACCCCCCCCCCGACACACACACACACACATAACACACACCAACTGCAGACCTTCCCATTTGCAGGGAAGTTGCTGTGTGTTCTTCTTGCAGCCATAGCAATGGCATCGCAAGCAGTAAAATGCAGAATACACAATTACAGACTAACAAGGACACACATCACAAGGCTGAAGTCAGACCACATCACTTACAAATGGCCCACTTAGCTCTGAAGCTCTCAAGTAGCAGCTCGAGAAAGAGTGATACAGCATAAACAGCTCTCTAACAAAAAACAGGGAGGTTCTGCTCCAGAGGACGTGGATTACAGCTATTTTTAGAGACTAAACAGCAGTCCAGTTTAGGATAAAACATTACAGTATTTGGTAAGCAGTGGAGAAAGGCAGCATACCTGAAGCAAGAGTCACAGTAAGAGAAGAGCCAAAACAAGACTAGAAATGCTACAGCAGCTGATTAAGAGCAAACCAGGGAAGACAACACAGATCACAGGGGAAAGAGTGTATGACGAAGACCTTCAATGAAAGAGCCAAAACCCCGGATGTGTATTTAAACTGCGTCACTTAGTCCCGTTTTAAACAGGGCACTATCACAGCCTCTAAAATCCACCTCGCTGGGTTCAAATCATTACAGCTCACTGCAGTGTCTGCAGTCTGTGTGCGTGCCTGTATGTGTGTGTCTGTGTTTGCCCTGGGCTGGCACTTTTTTTTTTTTAAATCTTGGTGCCATTTTGTGGTGCTTGAGCCTGAGTGTGTGAGCAGAGAGGCTCAGCTATTTATATAAGGACAGAAGAGTGCTCCATCTCTGCACTTCGCTTCTTTTCAGGCCTTAAGGTGCAACGCTGCATAATTAATGTGACAACCTGGCTCCACTGTCCTATATGTACAACTGGGCATGCTCAATAAAGGCTCAGACGGGCCAATGCCCTTCAGCACCCTTCACAGCACCTTTCTACACTGCAGTATGTGGGAAACATGGCTTAGCCTACGTACAAGAAAGACTTGACGTTGTAAAAAACTAAATGCTGTAAAATCACTGTAACAATAACACTCAGGAAAACATGAACCAGATGGTGCTAGCAATCACGAGAGCAGGAAAAGAAAAGTATACTTTATGAAGATTAGTTATTCTCGAAGCTGGCGTCTGACCTTCAGTAAGCCCTGCAGCTGCCTCCTCTGCTGGTCCAGGCGATGGTGGGCATGCCTCCACCTCTCCTGAATCTCCATCAGCTCAGTCTGCAGTGTGGACTCCGCCTTGGCGTCCGCTGACAGCAGCAGACTCCTGCCGGCCTCTACGGTGAGGATGTAGCCTCCTTGCTGCCGCTGAAGCACTCGCTCCCTCAGCTGAAGGAGCAGACATGAGGCAGAGAGTTTTGCTATCAGATCAGGATTTTGATGTTTTTAGGTTAATTTAGTGCTCAATTAAGCTTTGCAGTTTGAAGAGTGAAAGGCTCAGGCTATAAAGTTTGTTTTTACAGTCTTTTTTTTTTTTTTTACAGATTTCAAAAGAAAATTTTAAAATATCAGTACAAAGTTAGTATAAAAAGCAAAAGAGAAGATTTAAGTAATAAGGCTGTAAATGTCTTGCTGAAGCTTACCTGTATCTGATCTAGCAGGTTTCTGGCCTGCTGCAGAGCCACTGGTTCCCCTGGCTGATGCACATCTGGATCACGGGTCACTTCCTGTAGCCATCGGAGCAGCTTCTCTGCCATCTCCCGGTAGTTCTGCCACTGCCGAACCAGACTATCGATGATGCCTCGTCGCTGTTGTGCCCGCCTCACCACACCTTGCCACTGATTGCTCAGCAAAGCCAATTTTACACTGAAGTCGTAACTGTTAGCATGGCAAGAGAAAGAAAAGCGTGTTAGCGTCCCTCTGGCCTTAATTTCCCTGAAACTCCTGAAGAGATTTAGCAATTGTCTGCGTGCTTTTACCTCTTATCAACTTGTCCTTGGTCCAACAAACGATGCCCGTCACTTATGATGGAGTAAAGAATCTGCTGTCTGCTGAACATTTCTGCCTGGAACAACTGCACATGCACACATATGAATCAATAAAACACTGCACGCAATCAAAGAAAACACTAAACAGCATAGCAGCAATCCTTTAATGTAACACAAATAAGCTGATATATACAGACAACCACTGACCTCATGGTCTCTCTGTTGCTCCAGCAGACTCTGGTAGTTGCCTGAGATCTCAGCACCTAGCTTCTTCTCAGTCTGAGTCAGGAAATCCATCCAGGCCTCACACTTCTCAAGGAAACTCTGCTGCTGGAGCAACACCGACTGCAGTTTACTGGAGACGAATAGAGCCCTCATTAGAGACATTTACATCACCACAAAGAAGATCACTATAGCACTGTGTAGTCACAACTCTGCATGTTTCTACTATTAAATTCATCAAACATTTACAGTTTTCTATTGATTTTTTATGATATGGCAGGTTGTAATCTAGCATAAGTGAAGGACACATCTCTATCAGTGTCAGTGTAGCATCTTTTCCTTTTTATCAGCTTCTTTATTAAAAGTGTATGACTTTTGGGACCTTTTCTTCCATGAATCAACATTATTATGGATTTCAGATGTTTTCCAGGTCAGCCACTTATTTAATAATGACTAAGTGACTAGTTAAAGACTTAAATAAACACTTAATAAATGACTAACTGTGAAGTCAGACAGTATAAACATCTCAAGTTCAACAGTTTGAATAAAAAGACTTCGCCCATGTTTGTTAGGTCCCCTTCAAACATGCACTCCTTTCGATAATATGACTTTGTTTGAACTGGTTGGCGTCATGTCTAAATGCTCGCTCTGGTCACTTTTGAGAGCGAACTCATCAGGTTGGTTCTACATTTACAGATCACTTTAAACAGCATGCACGTGTCACATGTCTCAGAATGCCCAGAATGCAATAACATGAGAAAAAACACTCTAGCACACTTGTATCCGTCTGCCATGCTGTAAGAACGAAGTTCTGACCCCTTGTATTTTATGCCCAGTGGCAAATATTTTGTATGTATCAGAGTTCATATCAAAGAAGCATGAACCTAAAAAGACAAATGCCAAAATGCTTTCAGTAAGACACTGATGAGCTCAGCCATGTTAGGGGTTTCCCACTGAAGTTGTACTGTATAAAAAAGGATCCCCCACAGCAGGTAGTTTGATTTGGCAGAGGTTTAAATTAGAGTCCCTTCCTGAGGCAACCAAAGGGGGATTTTTGGTACCTGAACCTCTCGGTGAGGTGAGCAGAGTGAGTGGCCCAGGCTCTGTTGAGACTTTGAAGCCGTTTAATGTCTCTGTCACTGACTGGTATTCTGTACACCATCTCATTAACACGTTCCAAGTCTGGAGATAGACTGCTCAGCTTCAACAGGTGACCCTGGAAAAGTATTATGTAAGTTAGAGGACACGCGACACATAAAAATATAATGTTAAATAACACATTAAAAACAAATCTTCTAATGTGGACCATTCTTAATACCTTGAGTTTTTCTATACGCGTCTGGACCACATTAAGGTCGGGTGAACCCACTGGGTCCGAATCCTTCAACACTTCCTCAGCCTCCTCAGCCATGCAGATCAGCTTGTCTAGCTGCTCTCTGAACACCCCACACGTCACAGATCCACACTAGAGACAGACAGGTGATACCGTGTAAATACAAACTCAATGGATTACCAATCGCATACCTTTCTTTAAGGTGTCTTTTTTCTTCTAGTTCCCACAACCCTACCTGCAATACATCCTGTTGCCTGTGCAGGGCGTGCTCTAGTGCTGCTAGGCGATGAGTAAGCGACAAATGGTCGGACTGAAGGGATGCCGCAGAGGAGGAGTCGACTTGGCTCCTCAGTTGTTCTCCCAGTGCTTGCAGCTGCTGGAGGGACTGCTGCGCCGCGTCTTGGTCACAAAGGCAATCCTGCAATAATTCAGGAATAATTTTCAGGAAGAGAGAGAAAGAAGCTAGGAATCACTGAATGCCTGCGCACACACATCAGGCATACAAGAATTTATAACCAAAACTGGTAATGTGTTGGGTTTTTATTTGTGGTATTTGTAAGGATTGGAATTTTTGGAAACTAAAGTATCATTTGCCACTGACTACAACAAGTTTGAGTGAGCAATAAAAGTGAAGAAACTCTTAAACAGAGTGTAAGCAGCTCTGAATTCTTAACTTTGTCTGGCAGTGGTTTGCATCAGTGATCGCAGTAAAAAATAAAAACAGTCGGCTTACAGTATTAAGACTGTGTGTCTCTAGACATGCCCCAGTACGGTCCTACAAACCCAGCATGACACCGGGGGAGACCCCTGTAGTGTAAATCAGGGGCCTGTCTTTCCCTTTGCAGTCTCCTTTGAAAAGGCTTTTGTTAGTTGTGTCATGAATCTACATTCAAGCGTACAAAAGGACAGGGTGGTATTCTGCAGTGCGGATAGAAGCTTTGTGAGCCGTCACAGTGAGCTGACAAGCAGTTTAGGAGCTTATTCCCAAATTCCTCAGAAAGGAGATTGAGGGATAGCAGGAGGAATCCTCTGATATATTCTAAGCCACAGAATATGTGGATGCAGTATTAGCCTAATGCTAAGCTCAGGCATTGGACGATAACTACAGAAGAGAATGTTTAACATGTCGTGCTCCAGTGTCTCATCTCTGCTTACATTGCAGTCCTTAATCCAGGCACTGCTTTCGTCTTCAGTTATCTCCCTGTCAGTGGCGCTCCTCAGAAGTCGATCAGCACGTTCTTCCTGTTTGTGGACTGCAGTCACGCACTGGCTGTACAGTGACCTGTAGCGCTGCCACAGTCCGAGCAAGGACTTACTGGTCCTTAGCTGCTCTGAGATCTGCTCTAGCAGAAGATTCCACCTGAGGGAGAAAATTTTAAAAAGTGTTATATTCTGAAATCAACTGAGGGTATAGTTGATATTTAAGACTGAAGTCACTCAGAGATGAGTTGTTTGTTACCTGATGTTGACGTCCCGGAGAGCTTTGTTGAGCGTTTCCGCCACCGACGGGTGGCACTCCGTTAGCAGCTGGTGAGTTATGGAGCCAAACTTCCTCAAACTACTTTCCTGTTTATCCATCTCCTCCTGAAGGCTCTAAATGGCACAGGTACCCACAATGAATAAAAACTAGCCACAAATAACAGCGTGCGGTCTATTTTCTGCACTTCTCACCTCTAGACTCTCCACCTGCTGCTGCACGGCCTCCAGAGACCCATTAAGGAGACGTAGCCTGGACACAGAATAACGCCCCTCCATCAGGTAGCCATTTATCTCCTCTGAAGCTCGCCGGTACAACGTCCACTGCTCCAGCACCGACCGCAGGCTCACTTTCATCTGACTTATCTGATAGGAAAAGTGGGAGACGAAATACGTAAGTGTGGGAAAATTCAGAAACCATCTAAAAGTGACATCAGAGATGTGAGAAGCTCACCATGTGGTCCAAATGAGCCCAGGACTGGTTTAGTCCTTTAAGAGTTTCCTTTACAACACAGCAAGCTGCTCCTTTCTTATCCTGGATGAGAGCATTTCCTCGTTCCTCTGCTTTCTCTAGATCCTTCTCTTTTTCCTTCACTAATTCTTCCAACTCCTGTGAAAACAACTTTATTTATTTTAAGCTCATTATTTAAAGAACAAAAACAAAAAAACAAACAGATTTTTGTGTGAGTGTGGTCCTACCTGACAGTCTTTGAGTGCACTCTGCACCGATGCTACATCCTCTATCCTCTGTCTCTTCTTCAATTTCTCCTCCTGTACTGTGAGCCAGGTTTTCAGTGCCTGAACTCCATTTTCATGCTCCAACCAACCTTCCACAAGTCCTTCTAAAAGCTGAATCTAAAATACAGAACATTGTGGAGTGGTTAAGTGACTCAAAAATGGTGAAGAGCAGCTTTTAAGTACACTTTGAGGGCTACCTTTTCCGCAATGAGCCCCTGCAGTATCTGCCATCTTCTGTTCATAGCTCCTAGCTTCTCAGCAAAGTCCGTTTTGTCACTGCGCTTTCCCTCCACATCCTGACTGCTGATCTGCAGCACTGACTGGTTTACAAAGTCCACAGTCAGCTGCTTACACGTCAGATCTATACGAAAGCCCTGTGAAATTAAGAAGATGCATCATGAGACAGATGATGGGGAGCAAAAATATCAATCCAAGGACCGGTGGCATGAAAACCTTTGTACCTTATACTTCTGCAAGTAGTCCTGTACCACCGCTGAGCCCACAGCTGCCATGATCTTGTCCTGATCTTCCTCTATGATGTTCTCCATGAGCGAGATCCAGCTCATCAGCTCTGTGATGGCATGCCGTGATGCTAACTTCTCCATCTGCAGCTGAGGAAAAGAGAAAGAAGAAAAGAAGTTAGAGATGTCCAAAAAGTTATGATAAATATTGACTTTGTAACAGCTGCTTTTCTCAAACCTGGTGGAGCTTCTCTTGTACTACAGGGATACGAGTCAGCAGCTCAGCCCACTGAGTGTCGACTTGGCCCAGCGCTGTCCTCAGGCCAGCCGTGTCCACCCTTTTTAGTCTCAGAAGCTGGTTACCTGTGCTCAGCACTGACGAGCGCAAAGACGACTTAGCGTCCACCTCTTTGGAAAACTCCTACAAGAAAGAGAAAAACAGAAGTTGGATTTCACACATTTGTTAACTTTACGTCATTAATAGGTGTGTGACACATTTTTGCTAATGATGTAGACATAAGCATTATTAATTATTCTTTTTACAGCAGCACAAGGGATGGGAAGAAAAGTAAAATAGAGATACATTAGAAAAATAAAAATAAGACAAATAGTGTACAAAAAAAACCCCCCAAACACTATAGTATGCAAAAATGGTCACTATTTACAGTAAAATGCACAGATTTTTTTTATATGTACATAAATTACAGTGGGAGTAATAATGTATATGCATGTATTTTTAAACAGGGTGTTGGTATTAAACAGTTTGACTGCTGTCAGGATGGAGGACCTGAGTTAATGTTGACAGCTCTAATAAAACCACAACTAACCAGGAAGGCACAGAGGTGGTCTCTGACAGTCTCCAGCTCCTGAGGAACGGTCACCGACTGGGTCGTCCAGAACTCCAGTCTGTCCAGAGCCGACTGCAGCCAGTGGCTCAGCTCTGCTGACTCACTCTGGTACCTGAGATTTACAAACACACAGACTTAGAGGATACTTTCAACATCATTCAGGCTCTAAGTGTCACAAACAGGGTTGCTGAGAGACCAAGAGCGAGGACTGTAACCACAGACCCTTACCTGGTCCAGTGTTTGAGTGTCGAATCAAGGCGGTGCAGCTCCTTGTTGACCTTAGTGGTGGAGGAGAGCCAGTGCTCTCCCAGCTGTGTCAGCTGGTTCTCCAAGTCTGAGCAACCAACAGACAGAAAAAGCTTCTTGCCCTCCTCTAGTACCTGATAGAGTTGGGGCTGGTGCTCAGTCAGGCTGGCTTTAAGTCGCTTTAAGAAAGAGGATGGAACAGATAAATAATCAGTTTATTTAAAAAAGCATATCTGACTACAGCTTTCTGTAAAGTGTGCAAAGACATTCACCTGGTAGAGGCTGATCCTTTCAGTTAGCCTCTCTTCCGTCTCCTCTACCAGACCCACAGTGGGGATGCTACACTCCACCGCCTCCAGCTGTCTGCACAGAGCCTGATAGTCCTCCACGAGTCTGCTCCATGACTGTGAGAGCGAAAGGAAAGTGTATGCTATTTATTTTCATTTTCTAAACCACAAACCACTGCTCTTTGGGATTAAACTGAATAAGACTGCAGTTACTTTTAACCAATAGCTCATTATTATTCCTACCTCCAGAATCCCCTCCAGCTCCACTCCTCTTCTATGGGCCTGTTTGAGCACACTGTGGGCTAAAGCCATGGTCTCTTCCAGGGTTTGACTTTCCCTCTGAGACACCAAACCAGACACTTTACTGAAAAATGTCTGGGTGAGTATCATATGGCATTCCAGACCTTGGAAAAACTCCTGTATTAAAAAGAAAAAAACAGCATTTTAAATCCGATTGTACAGTAGAAAAGATAACTAAAACCAATTAAAAAGTTACAAAATCAAAGCCCCCTCCTTACTTTGTGTTTGTCTAGTAACATCTGAACCTCTATGACTGAAGCCACTGTCATCTTTTGGTCAGCAGCCATCTTGTCCTGAGCGGTATCCACCAGGTCATTAAGGTCGTGCAGCGCAGCTTCATACTGAGCCTTCAGAGACAAACCATGGTTCAAACTACTCCGTCTAGAGCCCACCATGAGCACCAACTCCTCGTATGCATCCTAAAAAGACAAATTAATATGTGACACAGTCCCTGTTACAGTGCTGGAGCATTATGATCACAGTGTAACAGAATGAAGGTATTACTTGTAGTTTGAGTAGCTCCTGATTGGATGATGAGTCTGATTGGAGTCCCTCTGCTTTCGTCTTCAGCTCAGTAACTTTCTGCTCAAATTCCTTCAGGCTGTCTTCCACTTCTGATAATGTCTGTAGAAAATGCAACATATTTACTATAAAATCTGTTTGTAAAAACTCCCTTTAGTATGTTAACTCATTCACTGCCAGCCATTTTCAAATCAGGTAACTCCCCACTGCCATTGACATCTATAGACGTCAATGGCAGTGAATGAGTTAAATCTGCATCTTAAATATGCATCTAATTCTTGTGTATTTGCTGCTGGTGCGCATACATACCTCTATCTGTTTGGATGCAGGTCTGTCTGCAGTTCCGGCCATCTTATGTAGCAACTGGTGTTTGCTTTCAGTCAGGGCTGTGAACAGCAACCGCAGTTCATTCTGGCAAAAATAACACAAACAAAGTCGGGGAATAAGAACAATGATGTTGTAACATCAATAAGATGCTTCACAACCCAAGTTTCCAGTAAAACTATTCAGCTTTAACACCTGGAAAGCTGAATGTTCCTGCAGCCTGTCCCTCATGGCGTCACAGTGCTGTTCCAATGCAGAGTCCAGCAGGCCCATCCTCTCCTGCAGGCCCTCTAGCGTGTCTTCCATCAGAGCTCGCTCTTCACCTCCACACAGCCTGTCCAATCCACCACCCAGCAGATCTCTGCAATTTTTCACTTCTCTGGTCATCTCCTTCAGCTGTTTATTCAAACCCTATACAGGGGAGCCAAACTCAGTTAGTATTATTTTATATTAAAACCTTGAACTCAAGTAAGACAAAAGCTTTTTGTTAATGCTCGAGAACAGCTAGTACTTTTCCTCCTGCTGCGATTTATATGTCAGACTATTTAACATCTTTATTGCTGTTTGTCTTCTCCTACCTCCAAATGTGTGAGCTGTGTCTCTGTGTCCTCAGAGAGCAGCACAGGACCAGCGAGCAGCTGATTCTCAGCAGCATCTAACCAGGACGAGGCAGCTGATACTGCAGCATAGAGGTCCTGCTGGATTGTTGCCCCCCCTAAAGATGCTGCAAGCTTACTCTCACTGCCCGCTGCCTGTGAGGGGCAAAAAGATTATGCACTTGATATTTTGAAAGGCATGACTAAAAATAGTTTTGTATTACTGGTTAAAAACATTTTTTATTTTGAGAAACACAAAAGAGAGATTAACATGAGAAAATGTTTGCTTCACCTCCTCTGTAATTCTTTCTAAAGTCTGGCTGCAGGCCTCAAACGAAGCTCTAGGAGAGCAAGAGTCCTGGCTGGTAGCCTCACCTCTGAACACCACGCTGGGACTGGACAGACGGGACCGGTGGAGGACCTGCACACAAAGAACGAAATATGAGAAAGCTCAAGGTCACACTGGCAGCATGCATATCAACAAAAGTGTGAAATTTCATCAGTGGAAGAAACAGTACGAACACAAACTTATAGCTTCTAGTAAGCACATTTATTTAAAGATTTTTAAAACCATTTAATGCATAAAATAAAAATGCACAGTTTCTGGCATGTATACCGGGCTAAGCTGGTCTTGCTCCAGGGAGTTCAAGGAGAGCTGCAGCTTTGTGTTCTGATCATTATTTAGGTTTTCCCATCTCTGTCTCAACTGCTCCAGAGGAGACAAGGTCTCATTCTCCAGCAGCACTCCACCAGGCACAGACACCTCACTGCAGGAAGGAGAGGACGTCATTAGAGAGCAAGGCAACGCAAAAGCTGTGTCGTGATCAAAATCCCGACTGGAAAAAACAAAATACTCACAATTTTTAAATGTTTTAAGGACGTAAATTATTTTTCAAGATCTTTGATAAAATACCTGTCCCCATTGGGTGTGGTTTGTTGGCCGAGTAACTCCTCTCCAACGCTGGCTACAGACTTGAGCAGCTTCCTCTGTTCAGCGACGTGCTCCTGAAGCTCCTACAAAATATATTACACTTGTGTTCGATTTTATCTATATGAAATATGCACTTTCTTTTTGCAGTGGATTCTAATAAAAGGGAAGTAATAATTACAAATTGCATATGAGACAGTCAGCTTAGGTCTTTCAAATATATATTAGAGTATAAAAGAGCTTCCTCTTACCTTCTGTCGACGCAGGTTGTCGTGTTGCTGCTGCGTGCGTGTTGACCGGGCCTGAGAGAGCCAGTCCTGAACGTTAGGACTCTGGGACAGAGACGAATCTGGCTCACTGTCCTCCTGCTCTTGCAGTGAACCCTGGGACAAAGATGGACATTAGGTATAAGATGTAATTTTGGAATAGGAGCATTTAACAGCTGCCAATTTTTAGTAAGCAGAAATAAATATGCCCAACAGCCTAACATATATCTATGATATTTATCATTAAATTATTTTGAGAATGGTAAAGATGAACTAATATTTATTCATCAGAGATTGCTGCAAGCATGTACCTAGAAAGCTTCACTAGCCTTCTGATTTATTATACAGTGATTAAATATCTGAGGATTAATGTGAACAACCAAAAGGGCATGTTAAAGGAGACCAGGAGCGAAAATGCAAAGTGAAACTTTCATGTTGTGTCCTCAGAAACGCACCTGATCGAATACATTTAGTGTTTACATCTGATGAGTCAGCATCCTTTTGTCTAAGCGCCATTGTGAGACACACAGCTGTTGCTGTTTCACAGTGGAAAACAGTGGACTTTTATGAAAGCGCATGAATTAGCCTTTAGTACTTTTTGCACAATGCTAGCATTGACGTCGCAGGCCAATTCAACATAATGCAGCAGAGCAAAAGAAAAGACAAAGAAGCATGGAGGAAGGAAAGCTGGGAAGTGAAAATACACTGGGGTGTGGAGGGTTGATGCAGCCATGAATGATGAGACAGTAAAGAAATAACATATGACTGCTGATCTCACCTGTATGTCAACTTGTTTGTCCTGCAGCATCTGCTGCAGCTCTAGCAGGCTGTCTTTGAGGGAGCGCAGTTTCAGGGTGAGCTGCTCCGCCTCGCCTTTGGTTTCAGCCCGGCCCTCCAACAACAAGCTCTCGCTATGGACGGATAGCTCTGATAGGTACGACACCTTCTGTTCGATCTCATACAGCATATTCTATTAAAAAAACAGGATTACAGTTGATCAAGCACTAGCATTTCTCATAGGTTTAAGCTGCTCTCCTCAGCTCCCAGATTAGTTTCTTAATAGAAACAGTTTTAAAGAGTCTTCCCTTTTAGACTAAAAGTCCAGAGAGAGCTTGAAAAGGCCAACAATTGTAATGAAGTGAAGAGAGGTGGTAGTTTGTATTCTCTAAGCTTGTATTCTCTTCTTTCACACAGGGAAAGAAGGGCCCTCGGTAGAGATGGGAGGTGATCATGTGCAGAGAATTTTCCACAACAATACAGTGCGCCTCTTATCCCTTAGTTTGTAGCGTCACTCTGTCATTCAGGAGGCAGGCAAAGAAACTGGTTTATCTCCACTTCTGCAAAAACCTCCATAGTGCATTTTAATTAAAATTCTCAAACACCAGTTACAAAGTTTTGCAGGTTTTTTTCTTTTGATGAACAGACCGAGTAAACAACATAATAGAAACTGCTATGATGACGCAATTAAAGCTCAAAGTTTAAAGTTAGGAAAGCATTCGATTGAGAACAGACTGAAGACATATTATATGTGAGTAGTTTTTAAGCTGCTTACATTGTGGTGTGCAGGCATTTAAATAAACAGAGTGGGTTAAGTAAGTTCAACAAAATACTTTCCTAAGGTCTCTGCATATCATACCACATTTAAAAGACGATTAACCAGAAAACTGAAATTTTAAGACACAATTTTTTATCATTATTTAATCTGGACATGAAGCTCAGCATGGTCCAGACCTTTATATGTGCAGACCACACAAAGCATATGTGAACTACAGTTTAATCAGCTTACTGTCTCCCAGCTGCTACAGACACACTCTTTAAAACACTGACTCTCTGCCTGGGGGACAGAGCGAGTATTATAACTTCTAAGAAGCCTATTATGGAGCATCACAAGGCAAATATGTAAACATCTCACAGCTCACATGTAATATGAATGTAGAATATGTGCAACATGAATATTTTAGCATCTAGGCTCTGCCGTAAATCCCCACAAGAAAATATTGAGTTTGACACAGCAGGGAGTTAGATGTGACAGTATTTTTAACATAATAACTCCCCTCCCCACAAAAATTAAATCATGAGCCTGACATGCAGAAAATTCCCAGGGGGCAAATCAAGTAGGACAGAGTATCTAATGGTGACAAATAAGAAAGAACCATGAATTATAAATTTAAACTAAAAGATTGAAAAGCTAGAAGATCTCCAGGGCAACAGGATGGAGGAAATATTGGATGAAATGTTTGAGATATTTGATATAGTACAACAACATGTAGACAGAAGTTAAAAACAATTATTTTTAAACTCTAAGTACGAATATATGACATATATATATATATATATATATATATATATATATATATACACCTTTAAGAATAATGGACACTAAGATTTTAGTTTTAAATTATTTAAGCACAGTGGTACCGATGTTGATGTTAATTATAAACATATGATAATATTGTAAAAATATACATATATATAATTAATTAAGCTCAAGTGCAGTTATGGTTTGTTAGCACCTTCCCCAATTGAATCAATTTGCCATAAAAAGACTCCAAAAACACAAAAACAATGCATATTTTTTTTCTATAGAAATGAAAGTGAATGCAAGCATGAAGATCAGAGAGTCCAAGAAAAAGTACCATTTCTAGGACAGTGAAGCAGCCAGATACTTCAGCCTTTGATAAAAACACAGCAGCATACAAGCTGTCATGCCCAGTTTTGTTTCTTTAGAGCAGATTTGGCTTCTCACCTGACAGTCGATGAGCTGCTCCTCCATGTCCATGTCTTCATTTTGGGGCTGAAGGGCAGAGCTGAGAGTGGCGCGAGTGCTGAGCAGCCAATTGTCGAGCTCCTCGGCCTCGCTGTGGTATCGCTGCAGCGCCTGCTCCTGTCGCTGCTCCTCCAGTTGTTCACTTAGTTTCTCCTGTAGAGATCAATGCGACGCATATCTTAAATTCTCAGGTGAGCTCACCAGAATTATAAAGATAAGGAGCAGACATAACATATACAAGCACATGATAAACTAGAAAAAGTATGAGGTCTTGGTAAATCACCTCCAGCAGCTGCCGTTTCCCCGAAGCCTTCATTCGAATGGTGGCCATCCTTTCTCCCAGTACAGTGAGAGTAGACTGCAGGGCCAGCTGTTCCCCAGCATCCCCATCACTCTCTGCCAGCTCCTCAGAGAAGCACATCTGTAGCTCACCAATCTCATCCTGCAGCATCAGGATCTCATCCATCAAAGCCTGAATAAACAGCAATAAGACGTGTGTGAGGATTGAAATGAGAATATACAAGAAAAAAAGAGCCAATGGGAATTAATTAAGGATGAGAAGAAGAGGCTGAATAGAAGATGGTGTGCCAGCAGTGAAAGAGGGTGTGCAGAAACCTCTTGACAGTAGTGTTGCAAAAGCAAACTGTTTCTCTTAAAGCCGTGATGTTGGCATAGCAACGAAGAACAGTGCCATGCAGTCTGTCCAACCATTGCCTTGCCCCGTGCAATATTAAACCCCCGAGTCGTACTCTGTTTCCCAAGAGCTCGCTGGTCTATACCATCTTTGTGAGGATGTCTCCCATGAGCCTTACAGATTACACTTCATGCATTACACTACTACTTTTACACTCTTTATCGGCACTACATTATGTTCCTTTATCCCTTTAGAACACCACATGAGCACATTTCCCCTAATACCACCCCCCCACTCCTCACCTGGTGTGCAGCCATCTGGCTCTCTGGAGTCTTGTTGTGCTCTAAGCCCTCATTCAGCGCCCCCTCGATGGACTCCATCTTGATGGAAATAGATTGGAGGGACTCCTGATAGTGTTGCTGCCGCTCCAGAGCCTCATATAAGCTCTTCTGTTTCTCACTGATCTGAAAATATGATGACAAAGTCAAGCTGTCAGACATGGCAGTGTCGGTCTGAGGTCACTAAAGCTTCAGGCCGGAATTTGAGACAACTCGCGCCTCGCTCAGTATGCTAGGAGACAAACTAATCCTGAGTTTGTTATTGTGTTTGTCTAACAGTCTAACAGTAACACAAACAATAAAAATAAATAAATGTGTTGAATTAAAGTGAAGATGTGACATACCACATTCTTTAGCGTTTCCCAGGATCTCTGCAGGTCATCCAAGTTAGCAGCGCTGCTTTCCATAGATGGGTCGTACAGTTCCTGAAGAGGTACTCGGCTTAGTGTACCTCGACCCTGTGAAACGAGGAAAAAGTAAGTGTGGGCTTCATTAGTATGTCAGAGTGATGTACGCTATTGATGGGAATAGTTCTTTGGGAAACCTTTGGGCTTACATTTACAGCATAAAGTCTATAAAAAGCCTAGTGGCACACTTGGCCTAAGAATATGAAAGTTTTACAAAAACTTACTTTTAAAATGTTTTTTTCCCAGACGTGCTTAAAAAGAGGCAGCTAAATGTTATAACTTGATACTACTTTACCTACTAAAATGCAATTCAACATTGCAAATAAAACTGGTTGACCTTGAGTCGGGTGTCTCTTGCTGATACAGCTGACGTTACTTTCTGTTCTTGCTGGGAGAACAGAATAAAATCCCTCCTTTCTCATGTTACTCTCTCACAACAAGAGAGAAGCATTTAGTTTATGTCATATATAAGTTCAACATTAACGCCTTTCTAGCAGAAACACAGGAGAATTTATGTGCGTTATACATAGCAAAAGATGAATTTCAAATAATTACATTTGTTGTATGAAATATGTCTGTTGCGTGTTCTATGTATTCTCATAAATTGACTTTACATGTTAAACAGTCACATACATTGTCTATTTTCAGAACTCATCTTAAAACACATTTATACCCTTTGGCTTTCGACCCAGTATGAAACACACTGATCATGGTTGTTTTTATTCTATTACATAACTGAAGTCAATATGTCATGAGTTAACAGTAATAGTAGTTCTCTTTAATTTTAAAATTAGGCTGCCCCCATAATCATATCCTGCCACACAGTGGGCATGGGTCAATCCTAAGGCAGATTAACTTAGATCTGCTGCTGCATTTCCCCCACAGCAACAGTTAGTTTAAATTCCGACATATTTCCCAGCTGTCTTTGAACTTGTTTTTTCTTTCAATATTTAAGTGTAGAGGCACATAACAGGCCACTAAAACAGCATTTTAGATTTTACAGCTAAAATAAAAAATTTGACCTTTGCTGTTTCTCCCAGCACAACGAGTGTTTCTGTTTCACTTCTACATCATTCGCGGTCACAGACAGCACAAAAAGCTACTTGATGACACCTCAGTTGTGTGTACAAAAATGGGAATGGCAAACAAAACTTCCATCAGCAAAGTAAATATGCAAACAGGAGGCCAATTTAAAAAAAAAAAGGAAAAGTGGGTAAAATGAGCACAGCAAATCTCCAGCTCTCTCAAACATACTGTGTTAACAGTGATGATGGTGGGGTGGTCACTGTAGGGTGGTAAGTTGGTTTGTTATGGTGGTGATGGTGAAGAGAAGGGGATGTATTTACCTTACGTCAAAATTTTGCCACATATTCAATATTTTTTAGCTTTTGCATTTTGCAACATTTGAAGCTTTAAAGATTAAAGTGTTATCTTCTAACAATGATGGTGATGACTGAACGTTTAAAGGTGCAAAACACAAAGTGGCAATAGGGAAGTTGAGACCATCAGGTAATACTGGTCGGTTTGGAGTTTTCCAGGGTGGGATTTGCAATACCTGGTTAAGAGCAGCTTCAGCGTTAGCCCCCGGAGAGGGGGAGCGGCAGGCAGGGGGAGAGGAGACCTCGCTGTTGGTACCCTCCTCCCCTGACTCCTCTGTCACAGGGGAGAGGAGTGTGTGGCAGCGGCCGGCTGTCATCTGACCACACATACACGCCGCAAAGAAATGAAACGCACACATCAAAAGAAGCAGGTGAAAGAAAAAAGGAGGGGGAGCCAAAAAGAAAACAACCAGATCAAAGGGGAGAGGAGACAGAGAGGGAAAAATGAGGAGGGAGAAGAAGAAGAAAAAGCATAAAAATTAATGGGGAAGTGCAGGTTAGCCAGATTGAAGTGGCAACACATACTGCTTGATTAATTACATAGTGAGTAATCAAATAACACAGAAAGGAGACCCATTAGCTCACATTAATGACACTGATATGCCTCACTGAAATTCTTCTGCCGTAACACAACATTAAAGAGCGTTGCAGAGGTAAAAGTCTTTGCTGTGTGAGCAAATGGACAAACATTAGATTCCACTGGCAGTGAAGTAGTTGCTTGGATTCTTTACAGGATACATCAGGATAAAGGAATGGCCCTCACCAGGAAGCTGAGAAATCACACACACACACACACACACACAATGTACACAGACAGTGATTGCTCACATCACACATGAACCCATACATGCTGTAGAGTTAGTACACACATATACAACAGGAAAAGGTTAAAGTAGTCCTGCAGACAGTAAGAATAAGAATAAGGTCTCTGATAGAACAATCCAGCAGTATCAAAGCTCAGACTCGAACAAAGCATGGCTATAGCATGAGATAGCTAACAGAGACAGGGACTGGTGAATACAGCAGCAGCTGTCCTAGAAGTAGCACTGTTGTCAGTGTGCCTGCATGCGTCAGCAGAGAGGCAGAGCTGAAATGCGAGCCAAACCCTACTGGGCTGCTTTTGGCAATGCGATGCAGACCTTAGTCTACTGACTCAGGACCTTTGGAGGACTGTTTCGCGGGCTTTATGATGCAATGCAAGGCAACTAAGAGCATTAGCACACCAGTATGTGTGGGAAACTGTGTGGTTTTACATTGTGAGGTTCGCTTGGTAAAACCACTGCTGTAACAATGACAACGTGCAATTTTAAAAATATCAGTAATCCATGCGTGACAGTTACCATACACGGAAAATGACAACGTTTAAACATACACACAAAAACACACACACACACACACGCAGTAATATCCTGTTTCCTGGCCTGCTGAGACGAAACACACCACAAACAACAGTAGTACACCGGGAAGGCTCAGAAACCTGATTCAGAAACAGACTGAAAGGAAGTGGGGTGGTTACTAGTGCTAACTGTATGAAAAATAAATGATTAAGATGAGGGCGACAGACAGGCTCAGGCTAACATTAAGTGACAAACAAGGTACCAGTGACACACCAGAGGAACCTAAATTACATACAGAATTAATAAAAAAAAAAACCCTATTCAAAACCTTTTACAGTACTACTTCCTTGCTGTAGCGGGACAAAAACTTCCCACACACAGCCGGATTTATAAAGAACTATTTTCACCTACAAGAAGAAGGAGTCAGCAACAGATGGCACTGCCCTCACAGGGCCCTGAGCTCAACATCAGTTACTCCAGGATTACATGAAGAAAGAGCCTAAATCCACAGAGCAGGTGTGGAAACATCTTCATAAGGGAACAACCCACCTGGGTGCAAGTGTACCAGCAAGAAGTGGTGCTGTTTTAAAAGGCAAGGTTTTACACCCGCCCCAACGACCTTTGAACTTGAACTTTGAATTAAAACATAATTGGTGACTAAAAATATTCATGCCACTAGTTTAAAACATGTTGCGTAGCACTGTATCCTTATATCCAGCTGTTACGTAGGCCTGAACAGCTGCACGTGAGGGAGGGCCTGCTGTTCAGCTACTTCTGTGTGGCTCATTATTATCTTGTAAATGAACTGCACAGTCATAACTGTTACCGTGACCTTAATAGTGGAGAAGAAAAGGTTTGCAGATCTAAAAAATCTAATCTTAAGTGATATTATCAGACATGTATTAATGTGGTATAAGTCAAGGGTAACTAACCTAACTGGAGTTTTGTTAAATGAAGCACATAGAAACCTTAAAGGCCCCACTGGGATCCTTGCAGTCACTTTGGCAGTCAGTGGTATGTGCAGAAAGGGAGAGATGCTACAACTTATGCACACATGCACACAAATCCTTGTAATGTCTACAGGTCTATGACTGTATATCCCCCCCAAAAAACCAGAGGTTTTCCCACTCACCATGACTACAGAGGGGTGTGCTGGAAGCTGCTTGGCGTCAGCTGTGGTGGTGTCTGTCACAGCGCTGGGAAGCTCCTCGTCACTCAGTTCATCCATGCCGTCTGAAAAGCCCTCCACCTCGCTGACCGTCAGCAGCATAGTGGCGTGTTTGGCCTTCACTGTCAGCATCTTGCACTTGGAGTGGAGCGAGGCGATCTGCTCCTGGTAGCCACGGATCTTCTGGGCTAACTCCTGTCAAAACATTCCAAGCAAACAGAAAACACCACCCCCAGGATCAGGAGAGTGTGGCTGAGTCCACACCACAAGATCAATAGTTCCTGTGTAAATAGGATCCTGTGAAAGTGGGTGGCTGAGTTGGATCAGCCTTGAATGTGGTGCCGGTCTGAGAGGAGTAAGCGGAGCAGACGCATTCTCTTTGGCTGTCTTTGGTGTAAGTGTAGAAAGAGAATAGCACCGCCTCACTCTCCTTTTTTCCTCTCTGTCTTTCTCACTCTCTCTCTCCTCTGTATCTCTGAGCCAATCGGAGCAGCACAGAGGCGGGTGACTCAGATCAGCGCTGAAGCTAAGACAGGATGTTTGGTTGAAGCAGAGACCATAGCAGAAATACTTCAAAATCCCTCAGACACTCCCTCTGCTACACATACACAAATGGCAAGGAAAAACAGGAAGTGATCTCACCGAGCTGTACCCTCCCCCTCCCTTGCCTGCTACTGTCGTTCTCAGCCAATCCCTTGGGCAGATTACTTCTAACAAAAGGAAGCTGAAGGAGAGAGGGAGGGCGGCTGGAGGAAGAGTGACAGAAACGGTGTCAAATTACAACTACGCTAATGTGCCAGCAGGCCAGCCCATCTCTGCCTTCCTCCTCCACCCCTCTTTTCACCCTCTGTCCCACAGATGGTCATTGCACTGATAATCAGGTCATGTGACTAAAGGGGCCAGTGGAGTTGCAACTCTCCGCTGAGCTTAGAGATCTAACTTAGACATAAAAATGCTGGCATGCCAGGCCGCTCTGCTGCGACAAAAGTGATTACAGGGTTGAGAAAATATCTGCAAATATCTGCAACACCTGGGTTATTTTCCAGGCAGTCAAACATTGGAGTAAGATATAAATCTGCCTGAACCGTGCAACAGAAATTAAAACGTAATAAAAGAAAAAATGTTGCCTGTGGGGAGACACGATGTTTCTCTGCAGGTCTTTGCATCTGCACTCCCCCTTCACAATCTCCTTCTCGGCATGGGAGATCTAACATACTCAGCAAAGTGAAACTGCAGCAGAGGCTCAAATCGCTCAGGTGAAAACCATCTAACTCTGGCATCTGTCTATGCAGATTATATTTACATGCACCATCAGATAAAACTAGGAATGTGCGTGAGTTGGGCTTGTAAAAGCACCACACAACATTTTCTCTGGATTGCTGTTTGGGAAAATGCATGCTTTGATCATGTTAAAAGGGAGATTAAATCAGATGTTTTTAAATTGGGATTTAGGGGGAATGATGGAAAGGGGTATTAATTGACCATTGATGGCTGACAGCAAGGAGGTTTTGGGTTTGAATGTGCAGATTGACTTGCATCTAACTCCCACAGTCCAAAAACATGCATGTTAGGATTGGTCTAAATTGACTGTAGGTGTTTATGTGAGCATTGTTGACTGCCTGGCCTGTCTGTTTGGTTTAGCTGAGGGAATTTCCTGGTTGGAGCGTACAGAAGGAAGCACATGTGCATGCTGTGAATTCCCTGGACTACACACCTCTGTGCCATTCTCAAACAGGTGTAATAAGACAGACAAGCATTTGTACTGAAGAGCTGGAAGATTAAAGAACAATTCATGTCCAACCTAACCACTTTGACATTTGTGTTCTCACACTAGATTTACTCAACAATTTCAGGGCTCTATAGAAGCAGCTTTTGCTTATACTGAATGATGCAATGAAATGATAGAATTATAGTTTGAGTCATTTTAGTCAGGCTTACCTAAGGCTAATTTAAGATATATGATACATTCACTGGTGCCACAACTTCTGCTTTTTGCCTCTGTGCATTGAAACATAGGACAGGAAACATAATGACTCAAGTTCTCTGTTTCTTTCACTTAATTCTTTGATGTTAAAAATACTGACCTCAATAGAAATGTCTGAATGTCTGAGGCATCAACTAATTTTTTAAGAGTCACACTCAATTTGGTTTACGGCAGAAGACTAAAATGTTGTTCTAGGAGCAAATCTTGTAGGGAGGGCCAGTGAAACCACTGTACAGAAGTTTAACCACACAATCCCTGAGAAATATATAAATATTAAAAAGCCAAAATTTCTATTCTACTTTACATTTTCCAAAGCCATTTGGATGGGAATCTTTGCAGGGCCAATTCTGGCCTTATTTTTGACAACCTTGGATAAGACAATCATAAAGCTGCATTTTATTGATAATGTTGATGATTTGGGGGTTACATGTTTATCACCTACACACTGCCGTTCTAATAAACCGAACAGATAAATGACAGAAAGTAAGGAGACCCTCATACCTCGTGGTGGTGTATCTGAGCCTGAAGTTCCTGTATATTATTAGTGGAAACGGGCCGGTCCTGAATGATCCGATGAGCTTCTTCAATTAATCTCTGGAGGTTCTTCACTTCCTGTTCATACTGCTCATACTGCACCACGGCCTCCTGTCAGGGCGTTAAGATAAAATGAGATGAATGAAACTGTATTTACATTATAGATCCCTGAAGGAAATTATATTTTCCCTTCCCAATCTTCGCAGGAAGTCAAGTTCTAAACTTTTACGTTGACTCTCATATCCATACGCAGTAACTGGTATTGAGTATGCTCATTATATTGTTGGTAAGCTCTTATTAGACAGAATAATCTGTATTTTTCATTTGCTGATATTGAAATAATGCAGGTGTGTGAGAGCTAAATTACCACGATTAGAATATTGCGATTACAAAGATAGATGTGAATGTAAATGGTAAATGGACTGGTTCTCATATAGCATTTTTCTACTCTATCTGTGCACTCAAATCACTTTATACAACTTGCCTCATTCACACATGCACTTTTTTCTATGTTTTTATGTGCTTTCTATCTATCTAGCAACTTGGGGTTAGTATCTTTCTCATTGATATTTGGACTGGATCAGCCAGGGACTGAAGAACCAACCTTCCGATTAGTAGATGACCTAATCAGAAGGTCTGTGTATCAAAATGTTTTAGACAGCCTGTCACAAATTTGACCTTGAGCCAGAACAATGTGCCCACATGGGAGATGAACTGTTTCAGTTCTTGTTAAACATGATGTATTTGGTTCAAATGGATTGACTGATTTATTGGCTGAAAGTCACTTGCTTCGTCCTCAGGGCTAATCTTCACTACAGTTGGCCTCTGATGGGGGCTTAAAGAAAACACAGACATTCCTGAGAAGGCTTGTTGAAACACTACAGAGCCCAGGTTTCAGAGCATCCACTCTTCAAAACAATAACTCTTCTCATCAGCTGAAATTTCAGTGCTACTTTTAAGCGATAAAATACTAACAAAAACAATGCAACTGAAAAAATATATAATTTTGATAGTAGGGTTCTTATCACAAAGGCTGATAATGTACTGTTTCTTCTCTCTGTCACTATGACTTTATATCTAACAGCTCATCAACAGCCTTCATAATACTCGGGCTGCCTTTTACCTGCAGGATGTTGCACTGCTGGATTGTGGTGTGTTGCACTTGGCTGGCTTCTTGCTGCAGAGTCTGAGCTGTGCGGCAGATAGGCAGACTGGCCACTACCTCCTCTGGCAGCCGGAGGGCGCTCTGACACTGCTGAACAGCAGCTACTTGCTGCTTAAAGCCCTCCATTTCCACCAGCAGACGCTTATTGAAAAGCAAAGAGGTTGATAATAAGACGGGAGATAGAAATGCTAGATGTATATCAATGGACGCTAATTTAAATGACATCTGCAGACTGACTGGACACAAGCTGTTTGCCAGTATTATGTTTGTGTTTACCTGTCTCTGTGTCAACTGCTCTCTGAGACTGAGCTTGTTAAGTTCAGGGGAAGCAAGTGTGGCCTGTATCTGATCTACAGCAGCATGGAGGCTCTTGACCTCCGCTTCCAGACGCAACATGTCCTGAGGAGAGATACAGACATAACAAATCAAGGGAAAGTATATGTGGGCAAAGATACAAGATAGAATGTAGCTTCTGTACACAGCAGTAATCAAACCCACATGAAAACAGATTTTTAAAAGTATCAAAGCTCCTTTGTGGATATCTAATGCTGCAAATGTTTTTTTTTCCTCAGTGCAGTTTGAATGATGAAGATAGTGGTGCCTCTCGCTTTAAAATGTATTCATTTGCAAATTCTAACTGACCTTAATGTGCATCATTGGAAAGAAACTAAATTACAAGTCGCTACAAATTAAACTCATGCTCTGCAATCTAGACCCAGAAAAAAAATCTAACTCACAAGAGGAGTTGTAAACAGATTTCCAATGCACAGTGTTATTAGCAACAATCAGCAACAGACTGTCGTCTGGGAAGCAGCTGCATGGCAATCAGATTAGCGTAACAGATTACTGCTGCACACGCTAAATGAAACAGTGCCTTCCATTATGATGGAGTAATCTGTCGTGAATGACCATAAGGGGGCACTGTTGAGTTGTGGCTAAATTATAATTGACTCAATTTGAAAGGATGTGCACATGCTCTTATGCAACAGAGTGTGTGGAATTATAAAATGGGAATAGCCACAGTTTTTTTGTCAGCAATGGAGACGATGTGATCACGGGAAGACTGAGGCAGGGGGGTACTGCATAACTCCTGTAATGCTTTCTTAAAAGTGTCATGTACCTTAGCTGCATCCTGCAGACTCTGGAGGCGAGTCTTGGCAGTTTGCTGCAGCTCTTCTGTGCGTCTGCTGAGGTGTTTCACCCGCTGGCTCCACCCCTCTGTCTGCAACACATCCGCCAGCTGCACCTCCCTCTCCCCCATGGCCTCCAAGTCACCATGGAGACCTCGACACTCACGCAGTAAGGCCTGCCACCAAATGAACGCAAATTATAAGTCAAGGAGAGGAGTCTTCTCGGGTGTGCAGTTATACTAATTAAGGCCGGTCGACATAGTGTAGAGCATGACGTTTCACTGGAATTTTAAAAACTCGGTGCATCTAATTAGCTTCAACTTTGTGGGGTATCCACAGCTCCAGGATTAATATTTTGGAGGAAGAATAAACATGGATTTTAATAGAACCCATTCATCTTACACAACAGCAGCTTTAGGACAACTTATAGCTATTCACAATCCCTGCTGGCAGCGCCATTAAAGCTCACCTGGTGTGCTCGAATTTGCTCCTGCAGCTGGGACGCAGAGCTCCAAATGATATTACCGGTGACCAGAGCCTCAGCTTTCTTTGTCCAGCTCAAAATGAATGCCTTCATGCCCTGATATTCCTCCACCTGTCTTTCTGCCTGCTCAACAGAAGACCACAAAGTCAGAGCAAATAATACAAAAACTACATTTAATATAATAATATTTAAGAGAATTATATGAAACAAATCATTTGGATGGCACACTGAACTGACTGTCCCCCCCACCTTCTTCAGTCTGTTGGCTCTATCCTCGACCTGCTGCGAGGTGTGGTGCTGCACCTCTGTCAGTTTGGCTACAGCATCACCCAGCTGCTTACACAGGAGAGGGTTCTGCTCCCCAAACTCCTGCACAGCCACTCCCAACTCTGCCAGAGAGCAACTGCAGGATTCACACTCCTCAGAAAGAGCCTGGAGAGGGGAGGAGAGGAGGGGGTGAAAAAAAAAAACGGAGGAGAAAGGAGGTGTAAGGAGGGCAGAGATTAAAGAAAAGGAGTTCATGAGCGAGGTAAGACTAGATTTAGAGTTTATTTTGAACACAGTCAGGATACATTTCAAGTAACACTCTCATCCTAAAAGCAGTAACTACTTAATTGTGACCCACAGCTTTAAAAGCGTATGAATGACATGTTGTGGTTTTATGGCTTTCCTGGCGAGGAGCAGTGATTAATTACTAAACCAGAGGCATGTGGGATGTGCTCAAACTGCTCCTTTAAATGAATTTTAACTCCAAAGTTTTTTTTCTACAAATGAGTGAGGGAAGAAACATGCTGGGGAGACAAGAAGAAGAACAGGAGGCAAGGGGCTCAAACTCCCATCTGGAATACTCCTCTCAAAAGTGGGTCACTGTTGAAGCCAGAACTCAATTCACTCATTAACCTCAACATCTGCAAAATGAATAGCCGATTTAACAGGGGTTAATTGCTTGCTAATTAGTCAATCTGTCTGTTTGATTACTTTGGTGTCTTCTTTGGCCTCCTCCAGGTCGGCACCCTTGTCTTCCAATTTTAGAGCAATGGTCTTCAGCTTTGCCTCGATGTCCTGCAGTCGGGAGCTGAAGTCCTCTTTCACATCTCTGGTCTGCTGCACCTCCCTTTCCCTTGCCTGCACCTGAAGTGGATATCAGAAACACACACAATGTTTGTTTAACATCCCTTTTTGGCTTTTTGTTAGTGGCAGAGAAGTTGCAGATAGAATATGTGTGAAGAAAGAGTTGCAGACAACATCCAACACAGAACTTTTGTGATTGTGTAATAGAGCCTTAACAATTAGACCACATAATACCTTAGAATTACACAGTTAAAAAAAACATAGGTCAAATACTAACATAAACCTCTTGACAAGACTAAATGAATGTTAAACAAATCAGTGTCATATTTCATTGATAATATTCATACATGCATCATTATTAGAGTCAAATAATACAATAAGTAAAATGAGCTTACCTGATCCTCAGCAGATCCCAGAGCCAGCGCCACCTCAGCTAGCTGCATGCTGAGTTCAGAGGGCAGGCCAGCTTGGAGGTCCTGGTACTTTGATTGCTGCAGCTCTGTCATCCGCTCCACACTCTGACGTCTGCTGATCACCTCACCGTGTGCCGTCTACAAGGCAAAGTGTATGACATGAATGTAACATACGAGAAGCTGCACTTGATGAAATATACATGGTTATAATCAAGCTGAATGATCAACAATTAATCAAAAATTAAACTCCCTTTATAGCTTGGTCTTGTTTAACTTAACTAACTCATTTAAGTGTATAAATCTTTGTCAGGGAGTTAAACTAACTTCATGGAGACAAAGCAGTGATCCACCAATAGCAACATTTCATTATTGGTGATTTCACTTTAGAAATTGTTTGGGTGTTTTTTTAAATTTGTAATTATTACATGGATGACTACAAATCCCTTTTTATCATTTTTCCATTAATCTATCTATTTTTCACCACTTATCTGGCTCTTGGTCACAAGGTAGCAGACTAAGCTCTTCCAGCTCCCCCGCAGGACACCAAGGCATCCTCAAGCCAGCCGAGAGGAATAACCTTTCTAACTTGTCATGGGTCTGCCTTGAGGCCTCCTTCTAGTAGGATATGCCCAGGAGGAATCCTATTCAGATGTCTGAACTACCTCAACAGGCTCCTTTCAATTGGGAGAGTAGTGACTCTACTGTGAGCCCCTTCCAAATGACCACTGTTCTTACTCTAAGGAAGAGCCCAGAGACCCTTCAGAGGAAATTCATTTTTACCACTTCCATGTACTATCTCATTGTTTTGATGACTACTAACAGCTTGCTGCCACAGGTGAGGGTAGGAACATAGATAAACAAGTAAATCCATAGCTTTACTCTCACACTCACACATTCAAACATAATCACATCTGTTAATTATGTTAATACATTGTATTTGTGTCTAAACAAGCAAAAAAACACCACTGAAGTCAGACTATGTTTGCTTTATGTGTGAGACCAGTAAGTCCTTTACCTCTAGCTCTTGCAGCAGTGAATCCAGGTCTGCAGTGGGACTCAGCAATAAACCCCGGGTGTCTTGGATCCAGCCTTTGACTAAGCCTAGCTCTTTCTCAACCTCCTCTCTCTCCCTCAATTCCTGATGCACCTGAGTCCTGCTAGCCCGCACCTGCAACACAAGGCTGACAAGACAAGGAAGAAAAAGATCAAAATAAACAAACACATTTCGGTCTGAATGGGATATTTATTACATTTACTATAAACAAATTTAAGTGGTAAAAAGCAGAAACTCTTTTTAAAAATGAAGATAAACTGAAAAGTAGCCCAATTATCCTTGTACTAGGAGGCTGTAAAACAACTTAAATATCCACCTACCTAAGTTGAACAATTATAGCAATAATCATTATGAGTATAAAGTGGCTGTCAGCAGCCCCAGCAGCAGTCATCTCACATGTCATACTGCGCCTGCATGCTCTGGATCTCCTGTGAGCACGGCGTCTCCTTGTGTCCATTTTCAGTGCTTTTCTCCATCACTTCCACCTTGTCATCCTCTCCCCTGAGACTGCAACTTTGTTGCCCCAGCAGAGCCAGTATGGACTGCTCCCTCTCCACTTCCAGACTGAAGGAGTCATGGTACTCCAGGAGACTCTGAAGCGCCGCCCTGGTGGCTGCTTTCTCAACCGTGCTGTCTGGGACACGACCGTGGAGGTCTATGGACACCGATCGTACCTTCTCCATCTGAGGGACAGATGTTTATTTACAGAATTATTCTCCACATTCAGCTTCATGTAGAGCTTGTGGGTTTAATAAAGGGGCTGGGAGACATAATTACTAACATTTTTGTCTGTTTTCACTTGTGATTGCTGCCAGTCTACTTTATGTGCGACAAGACTTTGTGATAGTCAAAGGAATCAGTGGACAAAGAGGATGACATCATGCCCAGTTGAACAAAGGGGCCACAGAAAAACAGTGGACAGCAGGAATGTGCCACATATGAGGAAGTGACAGTTACTTACAATATGACTTCATTTCCTTTTTTAGGAAGAGTGTCTTGTGGGTATTTATGGGAAACAGAGAGTGTTCAAACACAAATTAGGTCAAAAGGCGGGAAAACACTCCATGACACAGTGTTTTGGCAGAAGGAAACAACTGGCCTAAAGCCTGGAGTTACATCACTGCACACCAACTGGTGTTCAGCGGTTACTGTGTTTGACCCAAATTTGCAGACGCATTTTTGCAGAAGGTTAGTAAGTAAAGTCATATTTTATTTACAAAGCACCTTTATAAATAAAACAAAACACTAAAACATCAAAACAAAAAGTGAAAAAGTGGGTGGACCACAGCATTCTTAAAATAAACAGGGACTTAACTGGACGCCAGTGAAGGGTTGATTATAGAGACCACACAGGGACAGACTGAAGACTTGTAACGTACTCTGTCTGACTTTTGCTTCAGCCATAGCTAATGCTTGTCTTACCTGAACCTTTATCCAAACCTAAAATGTCCCATATTCTCTGCAAGTTTCCAGACCGTCAGAGTGGGACTCTGGTGATTCAACATAAAAGCCACACAATAACAGAAATAACCTAACTGATCAAGCTGAGGCAGATCAGCCTCTTCTGTGTTCGGCAAAGTATGAGTGTTTTTATCAATGCCTTTGACAGCAGAATACAACAAGTCTTCTCTTAGCAAAGGCCATCACATATCACGTAAAGCAAAGAAGTAATAAAATAAACACAGCCCACTCTGAAAATAATATTTTTTATATGATCCAGTTAGTTTCCTTGCTACTCCTGTCTGCTTCACCAACCTGGCAAAGTACAAACTATCATCCACTAAAGCTAATAAATCGACCGTGCACAAGGTTCTGATACAGCCACACTTAAAAAGAGTCTGAGTTGCGTGCTTAACTAGGACTTTCACATTCACCTAAAAGAAACCGAGCAGTCAGAGAGTAGGATGTGTTGCATTTTTTAGCTATATGTCTATAATCATTGATCATCCAGTTTTCAGTGGTTTATAAAACTAGAAGGTGGTCTAGTTGTGGAGAGTGCTAGAAAAATTACGGTGACAAGGAAATTTATACTTTTTACATCTTCAAGCTAATAAAAACACATTTTCATGATTTGGGACCTTAAAGTAAACCTTTTCACTAAAGGTTTACTTCAGCGATTTACAGTGTGGGGACCTGCTCTTTATTCCCCAGAAAGCAGGCCAATACGTGAGGACCACCACACCAATAACATGCACAAAAACCCACGGGTAAACTGTCTCTTACTTTCTCATTGAAGTTCCTCCACTCTCTAGCAGTGTCCTCCAGTGCCCTCTCCTGGGCTCGGGCCACACTGCGGAGACGGGTCCACCGTTGCCATAGCGACGATACAACGTGACTGGTGATAGCTTTGCTGGATTCAGAGATTAATTGCTCCAGCTCTGCTGCTCTTTCTTTCAAAGCATTCAGAGGCATTTCCAGCAGGTCAACATGCGCCACCAGTGACTAGAACCAAAAGGTTATAAGAGACACGACACAAAGCTGTTTAATAAATATGTTCTCCTCAAACATATCATGCAAAACTAAAAGATACAACCCCTGGGAAAGGCTACATCATTTCTGTAATTTCTAATACAGAATCTCTTTTTCTCTGACACAGTGACCCACCTTGTATCTTTGACACTTGTCTTCTGCTTGGTGGGCGCTTACAGCTTTAGCTGTAGTGAACATGGCCATCCTGCCCTCTGAATCATTCATTTGCTCAACCACGGTCTCTTTCTCACGTTGGAAGGAGCTCCACAGAGCTGCACATCTAAGAAACATTCAGATTGAACATCAATGATGGGTGACATAATAAAGAAACTATGCACAACATCATTTTAGGTATATGGAATAAATATAAACTGTATATGTATACTTGATATGGCACACACCTCTCCAACACTTCTCTGTAAGTATCCACTTGCTGTTTGACTTCGGTGCTTCTTAGCTGCATTGTGTTTACTTTTTCTCTGAGCCCACTCATCACTCCTGCCTCCAGAAAATCCACCAGCAAGGGATCCAAAGTCCCAAACTCCTGTAAACCAGCTTTGAAGTTTTTTTCCTTAGCTAAAATTTCTTCCAGATCCTGTGCACAGTCTGCTTGGTTTTCGAGCTCCACCCCTGTGGTGGCCCTCTGAAGCAAAGCCGCAGCGGAGTCTAGCCATTTCTGCATGGACTGCAGAGATAAGTGGTGCCTCTGGACCAAGGAAAGCGCTTGATCCACAGCCAGCTAGAATATGCAAAAGGTGATTTAATTAACTTCTTTTTCTGGCCTCCCACAAGATTTTATCTATGTAAATGAGTTGATAGAGAAGGGCACTGTTTAAACATTAAACCACAATTTTGCTGTTAATGTGTAAAAATGTCCTGTTTTTAAACTTACCAGTAGTCTTGTTTTTATAAAAGAAGATGCTAAGGATATATTTGAAATGTTTTAACCTCCCCAAGTTGATTAATATTAACAGTGAGGGAGGACATGACACTGAAAGTAACATTTAGAATTTTAAACCATGAATGATGGCTCAGGAATACTGTGGACAATAACTGAGGCAGTCATTTCCAAATGTATATCAATTACATTTAGTGCAACATCACAATACTATCAGAAAATAGCTATAAGGTGAATTAAAGCAATCAACAAACATAATTACATACTTGTTTTGCACACATTCCTTGTTGGACTTCATCTCCCAGCCTTCCCAGCTCCTGCAGTTTCTCTTCTACATGGGAAGGAACGGTTGCTTTCCTGCTTTTGTACTTTTGCTTTTCTCGTGCACCCAAGACATCAACGACCCTCAGTCTACTTTTCACTTCTTCCTCCTTGATTTTCAGTTTCCGCACTTCCTCGTGTATCCTCTCAATTTTGACCTCTGAAAAGGTCAAAGGATCCTTCGTTTTGTCTTTAACCATCCTCAACCACTCGAACACTTTCTCAACAGCTCTTGTGAAGTCTTCATTTTTTGCGAATGTCGTTTCGCTTTCTTCAACGAAACGCTTAGTGTCACATCGTAAAGACTGCAGCGACTGGAGCTGCAGACTAGTTTCCTGAAAGGCAGCAGCATCAGTCGTAAGACAAAGGTTTTCCATCTGTTGGTTGCATTCTTCAGCCTGAGAGTTCACTCCATCCAGATTTTCCAGCAGTAAATAAAGACTTGAGATTTTATCTATGGCACTTACTTCTTTGTCTGATTTCAATTTCACCAGCTCCTCTTTAGCAGACTGTAACTCTGAGTCTAACTTGGAAAAAACTACTTTGTGTTTAGATAGTATTTCCAAGCAATCATGTAAGTGTTTGATCTTCTGATCAATTCTCCTTTTCAGTGTGTTGTGGAGACTCACAAGCTGCTGTGTCTCCACAGCTCTGTAGTGCTGACCTTTACTGAGGAAACCCTCATTTTTCCCGTGCAGTTCTCTAACAGCAGAGCTAATATGGACTAAACTTTCATTTATATTTCTGTATTCATTAACTAAACTAACAACTTCCTCCTCTTCAATACTGATAGTCTGCTTCTCCAGATTGTCAAACTGCTCCTGAAGCTCCTCCAGTGCATTACGAGTAATATCAAAGAAAGTGCAGAACTCTTTCCGTTCTAGGATAATCTGTTGGACCCTGTCTTTCTTCTCTTTGGCTAGAGCTAGGATGGCATTGTACTGCTGTGGCAGGGCATTGAGCCGCTCATCCAGGTAGCAATGGTCGATCTCATTCAGAGTAGGGAGGATCTCCTGACCTATTCTTTGGACAATAAGAAGGAGGTTCTCATACTCGGAAGCTTGTTCTAGGACATTTTGATAATTGGAAAGCTGTGACTGCAAATCCGAACTATCATCAGCAGTGCTTAAATTGATTTCCGGAAATGTTATGTCATCTGCTTGTCTCAGCCACTGACAAGTCTTGTCTAGGTCAACCTGGAAGTACTTCCTGGAGGTCAAGGCTTTCTCTAAGGCTGCAAGATGCTGGGTAGTCCTCTGGAGAGCAGTTTCAAAAGCAGACTGTAGCTCCTCAAGTCTTGCCAGCGTTTCTGCTCTCTCTTTGTCAGTGGCATCTCTCTCCAGATCGCGGCCTTGTACCCAGAGAGATGCCAGCTCCCTCTGATAAGCTCGTAAGCTGCTCTGAACACCTCGACATCCAGCAACCTGCTTTGCCAGGTCCTCAGGAAGAAGTGCTATGTGGTCATCTATCAAGGCCTTCCTCTCCTGTTGCTGTATCCAAGACAATGCTCTCCCCAGGCCTTGAAGGAACTGTGTCCTCTCTGTGAAGGCCTGAGAGGAAGACAGAAACATCACAATTTATTTACAAATGGACTTTGGCAGGATAAGCAGAATTTATTTCTTGGACTACCTGGTTTTTCTTTGGGTCTTTTTTTTCTTTCACCAGACTAATAGCTCAGGATATAATTAGCCCCTTTAAGGCATAATTAAAATGTTATTTTCAATCTAAATCATAAGTCCAGCTGTTACCTTACTAAGGTACTTCCTCCTTTGGGCAACCCGAGCCCCGAGAGCCTCCACTTCAGTCTGGGCTTGTTCAACGAGCTCCTGCAGGCGTCTCTTTTCACTCAGTCCCAGCCTGGAAGCCACAGCTTGAGCTTCCTTCACTGCCTGACCGAGCAGCTGCTGACGGGCCTCCAGCTCTACACATACGCTCAGGTGGTCAAACAGGAAACTCTGGGCCAGATCGGGGGGTGGGCTGGTTTTCAGGGCAGAGGTGAGGGCAGGCCGCTGCTCCTCCACCCACTCTCTGGCATCTCTCAGCTGATTTTCCACTCGGGCAAGATCCTCTAGCATCTGCGCAGAGTCCTGGATCTTCTGCTGAATCAGCGATTCCAGCTGTGCCCAGCGCTGCTCCAGATGACCCACCTGATGAAATACAATATTTCCAGAAAATGTGTCAATATTACTTCGACCGTGTGATCATATTAGCATATTGCTGGACACATACAGTTATAGAAAAAAATAATGTCCCCACCTGTTGTTTGACCAGCTCCTTGTCTAGCAGGCTAAGTCGAGGCAGGATAGCTTGTCTCTGGTCCCTCAAGTCTTCCAGAGTTTCTCTTTGCTCCTCTAGGTCACTGGCGAGCTTTCTGAGTGCTTCTAGATGCTCACTTGTACTCTCTGTGTCAGCCCTAGTAACATATATACATGAGTTAAGGGACATCAGGGATATAGTAATAAAAATGTAAACTTTTGTCTCTATTGCGGTAGAAAGACTAATGAAACTATGTTGTGTATTCATATATATAGCTATTTCTGTATATACATAAGTGGATGCCATGCAGAGAATGATATTACAGCCTTGATAAAAACAAAAAAGTCTGATACCTAGCAAGGTAGTCCCATTCCCTGGATACTTGATGGAAAAGTTCCTCTACAGCAACAACACTCTCCTGGTACTCTCCACTTCGCTGCATGTCCTCCCCCCGCAGGGCTTCCAGCTCTTCAGCCCGCTGGCCCAGGTCCATCCAGCTTTTCTTCAGTCTCCTTATCTCCTCCAGGGCAGGAGAGACCTGTCCGTCCATCAACCTGCCGATGGCTTCATGCAGACGTGTTACCTCAGATTGTTTCTCCTTAATCTGCTGCAGGAACTCCTGGAAGAAAGATAAGAGTTGGTTTCTGGGATTATTCTGAGCAGCAACTCAAATTGTATGATTTTAGCTAAAAGAAAACTCTTTGAAAAATGTAAATGTAAAAAAGTGTAAAAAAAAAAAAGTAAAAAAAGTAAAATAGTAAAATCTAACCTGGGCCTTGTCCAGCTGGTTCTGTGCAATCTTAGGCTCCAGCTCTGCAGGTCTCCTGGTGAGGTTCTGAAGCTGCTGCTCTGTCTCTATTAGCTGGGTCTCCAGATCTGCCTTCTGCTCCTCGATGTCTCTCCAGCTGTCGGCTACCTCTTCACAAAGCAGCATACGCTCCTCAATCTAGACACAACAATAAAGTGCAGTCATTTCACGATGGGTATATGAGCTATAAACATGCATGCTGAAACGTGTACTCTTTTGCTTAAAAGCTTCTTAAAGTGTACTGACCTGCAGTTTGACCTGTTGGATAGCTGCTGCGGTCTCCCTCACCCTCGGCTCACACAGGTCACACGTGGCGCACACAAGCTGGAGGTAAGTGCCAGCCTGCTCCTGCAGAGCCCGCTCCTGCTTCACCTGTTTGTATATAGCTGTCTATTAATTTTATTGATTTTACTGGTTGGGCATATTATATCCTCACTACATCCTCTCTCACTACAAAATTAGCATCGATATATTTTATGTATACTTACTAGGGATGGGTATCGAAAACCGGTTCTTGTTGAGAACCGGTTCCCACTGTTTCAATTCCTTGGAATTGTTTGCCATTTTTGCAAATGATTCCCTTATCGATTCCAGTCGCCCTGAATGACATCACCACGTTGCGGAGCGTCATTTACCTGGCAGGAAACACGGCGCCTAAGCAGCTCAAACGCTCAAAAGTTTGTTATACTTTACGAGAACGGATGACACAGGGCAACTTGCAAATACAAATGACTAATGAATGTCTGTTTTTTAATTCCGCTCCGGACTCGTGAATCTCAACCCAGCAGCAGCGGTAACGTTTGCACGTCCTCTCCCGTTAATGCGGCAGGTAAATAATCAACTAACAGTGCATATTATGTTAGCGCGATCGTGCCTTATTACAAAACCTGCCATTACTGTGCATTTAGGTGACCATGATGAGAGAGACAGACAGAGTCTGGCTCAGATGCTGGCAGTTCTCGCTGCAGTCTACCGGTAGCGTCTCCTTTCAGGCCAGGATAGTCATGCACCGAGTGACATTGTCTAAGTTTGTGGTAAAGGCTTGCACATCAGATGCCCCCGATTTTCGGTAAGTGAATGTGTTTAATTGTAGGCAGAGACATTACTGGATATTCTTGTGTAATTGTTACAGAATAATTTATATTATACTTTGTTATTGGGGGCAACCGTGGCTCAGGGGGTTGGGAAGCGTATCTGTAACCGGAAGGTTGCCGGTTCGATCCCCGGGCTCTCTGTCCTGGTCGTTGTGTCCTTGGGCAAGACACTTTACCCACCGCCTACTGGTGTTGGCCAGAGGGGCCGATGGCGCGATATGGCAGCCTCGCTTCTGTCAGTCTGCCCCAGGGCAGCTGTGGCTACAACCGTAGCTTGCCTCCACCAGTGTGTGAATGTGAGAGTGAATGAATAGTGGCATTGTAAAGCGCTTTGGGTGCCTATGAAACGCTAAATCATCATATTATGTATTATTGCTACAGAAGAATATTTATTTTATTATTTTTACATTTACAATTTTTTTCCTGGGGACCCTGTGACACCCCATTGAAGAGCCGTAGGCTGTGGATCTCTTAAGATCTCACGGTTGGGTTTGTAAGGCCATGTTACTCCTAAATTTCTATCTTGTTCAAAGAGAAGATATAAAACAAAGTTCTAAGGTAATCGACCTTAGTGTTCTCCTTTTTAAAAAATAAGAATCGATAAGAGAATCGATAAAGAATCGAATCGTTAAACAGAATCGAAAATGGAATCGGAATCATGAAAATCTTATCAATACCCATCCCTAATACTTACTTTATGTATGTATGGTTACTAACCTGCTGTAAAGCCTCCTCGAGGCTGAAAGAAGGATGTGTAGGAGGCTCTGGCTCTTCTGACACAGAGTTCAACCACGTCTGGCACTGCTGCAGTGTGTCCTGCAGACTCACATGTCTCTGTAACTCATGATCCAGACTCTGATACACCTGTAATACAGAAGAAGCTAAATATAAGTGCTCTTATTGACGCACCTCTGCATGGCAAACCATTTAGATGTTTTCTGTTTTACCAACAGTAGCAGAATAAACACATGCAAGAACACGGAGTGAAAACAACGAACTGTTGGTAGACGACACAGTGCTACAATGCTTTGAAGTCAAAACCTATGGCCAAACACAATGACAGATTAAAACCCAAATGATTAGGCAGTTTTTCATTGTTATATTTAACAGGTGTTGAATGTGGAGGCGTCCATGCCTTCCAGGGGAGAGCGGAACAGCAAGGTCTGATTGACAGTGTTAATATGAGAACCCGAAAGAGAGGAATAACGGGGGGCAACTACTGGCAAAATGCCCAATGTATTTGGCAAAGGCTAGAAGGCTGGCATGGTGGCAAGTGGCAGGCAGGATATTAGAGCTGTGCTGCACTGGGACACAGTTGGCAGCCATCGTAACACTTGAGGCGCAGTTGTAGAGAAGCCAGCAGTGTAGTGGTAAAGTGTGGCTGGATCACACAATGCCAGATTGGATGTGTGAGTGGTGGTGGAGGTAGTGTCTTGGGAGGTGAGCTATGATGACAGAACAGACGACGCCAAAATGACAGAGTGGGGCTGGATTATGGGGGCTCGCCAGATTCGCTGAATGGTGGTGTGTGATCATTTTTGGCTCAAGCATGAAAAAGTGGAGCTGACAGGGGATACACGGAGATTAATATGGCGAGATTGAGTTAGTGATTTTGGCCGGTGGGGTCTGTCCACATACGGCTGCTGTTGAGCTCCACTTTGGCAGCCCTAATTGGTTGTGTCCTCTACGCTGGCAGTAAAGGGCTGTCTTAAGACATGGGTTTAAGTGTCAGAATGATTTAGGATTAAGTTGCTGTCTAATCTGTTGGAATATTAACGGAACTGATATCTAAACCATGCGTTTCTGTGCATGCACGTCTCGTCCAAAGGACATCCAAGAATTACTTCATGAATGTGTATTAACCATTTCACTGCTCCATAGACAGACAGACTATCTGTCTTTCTCAGCTTCCCACAACTCCCTCCCTTCTCCTCCACGTTCCCTCCCTCCCTCCATCTCTCCATCTCCTCCTCCTCCTCACTCACTCTCTGCGCTGTGCTGCAGATGGCAGAGTAGCTGTCTCTGGTGCCTTGCTGGTGTGCCTGAACCTGCTGTCTCAGCCTGCTCTGCACACGGTCACTGCAGCCTTCCATCAGGTGGTCTCCTCGCTCTTTCAGGCCTGCCAAGCGATCCTCAAACCCTGCAATTTCCTCCATGATGGCCTGTGGAGGATAAAGTAACCACGTAGGATTTTATGAGAGAATCTCCAGTGGAGATATAATAGCAGATGAGCTTGTACATTTGTGATTTGAGCAGAGTGACCACAAAGAGCTATTAAACTGTCTGGATTAAATGATGACTAAATCCAGCATCTGTTAAACATTTAGACTGAACATACTAAAAGAAAACATTTCATTATTAATATATTACTTATGGTTTCATGTCCAAAGCAAAAGTCTGATATTTTTCCAGATTAATTGTCGTAAAATTCACTATTATTGCCAAACCCAAACACCATGCCAATCACTTATGCCCAGCAAAATGAGGTCTGAGCAGTATATCGATGGGAGACACTGGAATAGCCGGACGTTCCTGATCCGGCAAGGATCTCCAGAAGGGACTAGTCCCATCCGGGGAACCCCAAGGATCCCCAGAAGGGACCAGATGTGTAGGGGGGAAGGCAACAGTGGTCCCAGTGGTAATTGGAGCACTAGGTGCAGTGATTTCCAAGCTAGGCCAGCGGCAAGCAGCAGATCCCAGGAACAACGTCTGAGATCTCTGTCCAGAAGAGCGCAGACCTAGGAACCTCAAGCTCCCAGGCCTCTGGCAGAGGACCCAAGCTTCAAGGATAAAGACTGCCCGCTGGGGTAAGAAGGGAATTATATATATAAAAAAAAAAACACCCAGCACGCCCCTGCGGGCGGTTTATCCTTCAAGCTCGGGTCCTCTACCAGAGGCCTGGGAGCTTGAGGGTCCTGCGCAGTATCTTAGCTGTTCCCAGGACTGCGCTCTTCTGGACAGAGATCTCCGATGTTGTTCCCGGGATCTGCTGGAGCCACTCGCCTAGCTTGGGAGTCACCGCACCTAGTGCTCCGATTACCACGGGGACCACCGTTACCTTCACCCTCCACATCCTCTCGAGCTCTTCTCTGAGCCCTTGGTATTTCTCCAGCTTCTCGTGTTCCTTCTTCCTGATATTGCTGTCATTCGGAACCGCTACATCGATCACTACGGCCGTCTTCTTCTGTTTGTCTACCACCACTATGTCCGGTTGGTTAGCCACCACCATTTTGTCCGTCTGTATCTGGAAGTCCCACAGGATCTTAGCTCGGTCATTCTCCACCACCCTTGGGGGCATCTCCCATTTTGACCTCGGGACTTCCAGGTTATACTCGGCACAGATGTTCCTGTACACTATGCCGGCCACTTGGTTATGGCGTTCCATGTATGCCTTGCCTGCTAGCATCTTGCACCCTGCTGTTATGTGCTGGATTGTCTCTGGGGCATCTTTACACAGCCTGCACCTGGGGTCTTGCCTGGTGTGATAGACCCCAGCCTCTATGGATCTTGTACTCAGAGCTTGTTCTTGTGCTGCCATGATTAGTGCCTCTGTGCTGTCTTTCAGTCCAGCTTTGTCCAGCCACTGGTAGGATTTCTGGATATCAGCCACCTCCTCTATCTGCCGGTGGTACATACCGTGCAGGGGCCTGTCCTTCCATGATGGTTCCTCGTCTCCCTCCTCTTTCTTGGGTTTCTGCTGCCTGAGGTATTCACTGAGCACTCGGTCAGTTGGGGCCATCTTCCCAATGTATTCTTGGATGTTCCTTGTCTCATCCTGGACTGTGGTGCTGACACTCACCAGTCCCCGGCCCCCTTCCTTCCGCTTAGCGTACAGCCTCAGGGTGCTGGACTTGGGGTGAAACCCTCCATGCATGGTAAGGAGCTTTCTTGTCTTTATGTCAGTGGCTTCTATCTCCTCCTTTGGCCAGCCTATTACCCCAGCAGGGTACCTGATCACGGGCAGGGCGTACGTGTTGATGGCCCGGATCTTGTTCTTACCATTCAGCTGACTCCTCAGGACTTGCCTGACCCTCTGCAGGTACTTGGTGGTTGCAGCTTTTCTAGCGGCCTCTTCATGGTTCCCATTTGCCTGCGGGATCCCCAGGTACTTGTAACTGTCCTCTATGTCTGCAATGTTGCCTTCTGGTAGTTCAATCCCCTCAGTTCTGACTACCTTCCCTCTCTTTGTTACCATCCGACTACACTTCTCCAGTCCGAATGACATTCCAATGTCATTGCTGTATAGCCTGGTAGTGTGGATCAGTGAATCGATGTCTCGTTCACTCTTGGCATACAGCTTGATGTCATCCATGTACAGGAGGTGGCTGACAACTGCTCCGTTCCGTAGTCGGTATCCGTAGCCAGTCTTGTTAATGATCTCACTGAGGGGGTTCAGGCCTATGCAGAACAGCAGTGGGGACAGAGCATCTCCTTGGTAGATCCCGCACTTGATGGTGATTGTGCTATGGGCTTGGAGTTGGCCTCTAGTGTTGTACGCCACATCCCCATTGAGTTCCTGATGAAGGCTCTTAGGGTCCCATTGATCTTGTACAATTCTAGGCATTCCAGTATCCAGCTGTGGGGCATTGAGTCATAGGCCTTCTTGTAATCAATCCAGGCATGCACGGTTCTGTCTACAGTAGCTGGCTAGTTTTGCGCCTCTGGTATTCTTGCCAATTCCTTTCTGTGTCCCACTCATGTATTGACCCATGTGCCTGTTCATCTTAGCCGATATGATGCCTGACAGGAGCTTCCATGTAGTACTGAGGCAGGTTATTGGTCGGTAGTTGGAGGGGACCGGTCCCTTCTTGGGGTCCTTGGGGATCAGGACCGTCCGACCTTCGGTTAGCCATTCCGGGTGTCTCTCGTTAACTAGCAGCTGGTTCATTTGTGCTGCCAGACGCTCGTGGAGTGCAGTCAGCTTCTTTAGCCAGTAGGCGTGAACCATGTCGGGCCCTGGTGCTGTCCAACTCTTCATACTGGAGACCCTTTCTTGGATATCTGCCACTGTGATGGTTACTGGACCCTGTTCAGGGAGGTCGCTGTGGTCTGCCCTCAGATCCACTAGCCACTGAGCATTGCCGTTATGGGTTGCGTCCTTCTCCCATATGCTCTTCCAGTATTGCTCCGTCTCCAGCCTTGGTGGTGCTGTTCTCTTATTATTGTTCCCTTGCCACTGAGAGTACACCTTTGCTGGTTCTGTGGAGAACAGCTGGTTTATTCTCCTGCCTTCTATCTCTCTGGTGTACCTCCTCAAGCGGCTGGCCAAGGCTGTGAGTCTTTGCTTGGCAGTTTCCAAGGCCTCAGGTATGGACAGCTTGCTGTATTTCTTATGCACTCTTTACTATATATATATATATATTTATAAAATTCACCTGTATGTACCCATGTGTAAAAAAGGCATAAGTAAAATTTATTGAGAAGACAGTAACCCTGGCATCCTATGTGCAACAAAACCCTTTCAAATGATGATGACACTAACATCAAATAAAGCAAACATCAAGTAGTAGTACAGGCCACAGGGGATCATTTTTGTCCCCCAATTAAGGCGATTTGTCATTAAATACAACCAATACGTCCAAAAACAGCAAAAGTGAAATATTTTATTTGGGTACCTTGTGTCTGGCCAGCTGTTGAGTGGCTGCCTCCAGGCTGCCGCTAATACTGGGATCAGGGGTCACCATCCTGCTGGACATCTGCAGCAACCAGCGCTCCACTTCCTGGAGTTCGTTGTGGTAAGCTTCCTGTTCCTTCACCTGGCCTTCCAAATTCTCCACATGAGCCTGGACCACACAGTTCACAGACAAACTATACTGATGACAATGCATATGCAACAGCTGGGCAGGAAAGCTTCTTTGACACTGAGAAGCAACAGTGTTTTGTTGTTTTTTTTATCAGAAGCTAGTTTTACACAACTATTTTAGAAACATCCACATGCATGTACATGCACTTAATTTATGTGAAGCTGATTCCAAAGTTGCTGCTCTGCCTGCATGGAAAGTACATTAGTTTGTCCTCTTTTTCAAAAAGAACTACTGTCATCTGTGTACAGCTTCTCACCAAGGCAGTATTACAAAGTCCAGTGTAGTCCTTTTGTAGTTTGCTTATTTTATCTCGAATAGAGGGGTAGTGGACAGAGGAAAGTAGAGCGTCGCCCTTTTCCAGCACTGACTTGATGGCTCCATCATGGGACTGAACCATCTGCAACAGAGCCTAAAACACACAAACAGACAAGCTTTATCTTCAGTATCTTCCGCACAATAGGGTATGCTATGTGGCGTTAGATGTTAAGCTTTTTTTTAATCTAGTTTACTATTAATAGGGTTTACTTATTAATGCCAACTGCTGTTAAAGCGGCCCATAAGCATCTGTCATTATGACTCTGGAAAATGGTCAGCAGTTATTTAAAGCAAATCTACTTTTAAAGTTAATTTTCAGACATGCAAGGTCACTCATGTGGTTCATTATGCTAATATTAGTCTTGTTGAATTCGCCAAAGAGAAAAAAATCACTTAGTGTAAAATTAATCCAGATGTCCCCCCTCACTTTTTTTTATACTATACCTTATACTTAGTCAGCTGTGCTCTGCGTTGATACAGCTCAGCCTTGGGCTCCACTGGCGTACGAAGCAAAGCCTTGGTTTCCACCAGCCACTGAGCCTGAGCCTTGTACCGGTCCTGGAACTCCTTAGCTAGCAGTAATGCCCGCTCAAGGAAGCTGCGCTCCTGCCTGAGGCCTCCGGCTAACTCCTCCAGCTGGGAAAGACGCGCCTCTACTTCTCCTCCTAAACTTTCAGCTGCAGATTCATTCAGGAAGCCTGCCGCCTGTTCTGCTCGCTCCCTAAGTGATTTCAGGAAGCTGTGACCGTGCTGGAGCTCAGACTGGAGACTCTGGGAGAAAGAGAAAGCATGAATAGAGCTCACCATGGGTCCTGCTACTGTGTTATCACCATTGCTTGTTACTAACTGACCTTCAGCCAAGGCAGTTTACACACTACTGAATGAAAGAAAAGAGTAAATCATCCTCTTGGATAAAATAGATTTATATCATAGCTTCACTGACTTTGAGGCTGGCATTCAACACAAGATCACTGATTCCCTTGTCCTTCACCTCCGGTGCTGTCCCAGTCACCCAGACAAGCCTTACAGTGCATTTGAAAAGCTTTGAACTCATCGGGTAGGCTGACACCTGCATGGTGCGATGTGGAGAGGACTGGGAGGTCATGTTGGGGAGAAACCACAGTGAATAATATGAAAGGAGGACCCAATTATAACAGGCCCTTAACAGGCACAAGTAGCTGCAGGGTTTCCAGGGCAACCATAACATGCCACACACACACACACACTCACACCTCCACTCTATGGGATGCCATCTAGCTTTCATCATCAGTCTGTTATTGCTTGTGTAGAAAGTAGCCTCTCACTTCAGCAATCACGATCTCCAGCTATGGCTGTTGGTAATATAATATAACAAGAGCAGCGTCTGTCTGCACACGTCCATGCTTCCCGCTTAATGTGATGCTCCAGGCTCGCTCGTCACTCGAGTAATGGCGTTCACGCTTTATGGCTTTAATGAGCGACACTGACTACATTTCAATTTCATATAGTTCTCTGTGTTTACCAAGAGCTAAAAGAAGAAATCTGCAGTAATTGCAGTTACAGCACTTTAGATTTAGTGCTGAAAAACTCATTATCGCCTCTTCATCTCACACCTGATATCAGTTTTCCATCTTAGCAGCAGCGGCGGTTGTTTACATGTTTAATTAAAGTTGCAAGATTTTGTTCTTCCAGAATCTGAAATAATCAGTGACTTCACTTAAGAGAATGATCAGAATTTGGTGCTCACAATCTGTCTTTGCATCAAATAAGTTATCAGCGTAAGGTTTTAAACTTGCATAGGCTCATATAATTTAATAATTCTACGGCTTCCATATAGCATAAGGCAGTACAGTCTTGTGAACAATGTATATCAGGTCTTAAAGACATCATGCACTTTCTGCTGTAGCTGTCTTATAGCACGTCAACCCAATTATCCCAGTCAAGTTCCTTGTCCACCTGCTGTAACTGGTGATTCTGCATCAGTGCCTGGGCTCTTTAATCTACTGCACTGCATCTACTATGGATCTGCCAACCATGTTTAGCAGTTACATTACCTACTAGAAGGGGAAGGACATTACAAAAATGACTCTTTAAGCAGTTTAGCAGTCTCTGCCGTCAGTGCACGAAATGCAGCGAAACCACAGAACAGAAGGAACATGTTTAATTCTGCATAGCTCAAAATTTTGTTCAAATTAATTAAGAAGCATATGTCAATTTCTGTACTAAACTAAATGCATTCATTATTCCCAGTTACAAATATGGAATTAAAAAATGGGGCGATTTACCTTTACCTTTGGGGAAAAAACTCTGACTGTGTGCATCAGAAACCATCAGGGACTCTGGGGAGGATATGACCTTGAACATTTATGAAATGCGAGTGAAATTAAAAATTATGGAGGGAGGAGAAAGGAGGGGGGGGGTGCTTATTAATGAGAACCAACCCTTTTCTATTTTGCATTTTGCCTTGTTTACATGTTTGTACGAGCCACTCATTTCAAAATAAATCTTGTCAAAGAAAACTACAGAGACACTTCAGCTGAAGGGGACAAATTAAATTATACGTTACATTCTACATGATCACGATATGTACAATGAATTCACAGCACATTTACAACTGAGGTAGTCCATCATTACTGTATGACTCACACTTTGACAGTATCAAATAAAGTCCAAATCCAGCTAATGGCCCTTGACACAACTATTGATTACTGGTCTTTGTGTCGATGCATAATCATCCCTGCTCACTGAACAGCCCTGTAGCTCTCACTGCAGGAGATGAGCAAGCGCTCGCGTGTTATATGCAGTGCTGGAAGGACACATGTGGTGGCAGCATGTCTTCAGTGCATACGCAGAGACAGAGCATCGATCCCAGACACGGATTACTGCAAAGACTGCACCAGATGATCTATTGTAAACATCTATGTTTGGTGTGCGGGTCTTTGTGTGTGTTAAGGCTGTTCTGGATGTATGTGAAGAAGACAAAGAGAAATGAGATATAGCGATGGAGAAGTAAAAAAAATGCGCGAGGACTCATGGGTTTGCTGCAGCTTGTTAGTTAGCACTTTGGATGGGTTTTATGATATGAAACGAGTGTTTGAGGAGAGAAGTGTGTGTGTGTGTGTGTGTGTGTGTGTGTGTGTGTGTGTGTGTGTGTGTGTGTGTGTGTGTGTGTGTGTATTGAAGCAGTAAGGGCACTGCATCAATTACAGTGTCTGTGCCAGCAGGCTCCTGACACCGGCGCTTCTTCATCCTCTTACACACAGTGGGAGGTCTCCCCCTGCTACCACGCTTCCTCTAAAGCAGCACCCGCTTTGTCTTCATAAAGAGCCGATCGATACACACATTCTCACCCAATCCTCTACACACTCGAGTTGAACTATGCCAGGCAAACTATAGTGGTGATTCTCTTTTTACAGTGTGTGCATTTCTGAGCAGGGCTACCTCCCTCAAAAGCCAATTTGATGAAATGAACATAAGAGAAAGTGCTGCAGTCATTTTCTCTTAGTTGAGAGCGCTGTCCAAATATTATACGAACAATGAACGCTTTTCAAGTTTTACAGGAAGTCTATGCATATTTTACCGGCCATTTTGCAGCTGCCAAAGAAAACTGCACAAAGGATTTGTTTGCTGGCTTGTGAAATTGAATTCATATGAGTTTGTGCTCAAATTCTTTGACATAAACAGTTCAGGGAGGTGCATTAGGTGCACCGCTGCACCTTCTATCCAAATGCATCACTTTGGGTCTAAACCGTGGAGGTTTAGAAATGTAACAGTGAAACTAAATAAACATACCTCTAGTTTTTTCATCTTCTTCTCCATGGCCGCCTGGTCTAGAGGTTCAGAAGTGTCAGTTAATGCTGTGAAGCTTTTCAGAGTCGAGCCAAGCCACTCGGTGAAGGACTTGCAAAGATTCTCTGTCTCTTCAATGCTCCTCAGCTCCTCTTGTAGCTGTTTGATGGTGTCCTGAAAGTAGATTAAATCGAAGGTCAGAAGAAAAAAGTTCCAGAAATGTTAAGTTTGGATTTTTAAGGAGGATAAATATCTTACTATGATACATAAAAGCTCTGTCTGCCTGAAAACTCTGTCTAGACGATCAGGAGATGAGCAACCAAACTTGGCACACACATAGATCTGAAGCCCCTGAAGGGACTTATCGAAATCAGATACTATGATATCCATCATGTTGCCTAGCAATGGGCTAAAAATACCAATTTTTTTCCATTCATGCACCTATAACGTTATGTTAAAGTATGTTTCTTCTTCTTTCTTTTTTTTTTTTACCACAGCATCTACCCTATATCCACAAAAGGTGAATTATGGATGGGTTTTTATTACCTGTTTTTTAGTCTTTATTAACTTAAAACCTTATGAAAGCATCCTATTGGAACATCTAATTTATATCCCAAAAAGTTGAATTATACATGGCAAGCAACAGGCTAAAACCACCCATTTTCGTCATATAAATGTCTTAAACCTCCCTTTCTTTCGTAAACAACATTAGTCCTTCCCGGAAATATTAAGTCGACTTCTGTAGGTCAAATATAAATTGAGGATAAATGAAAAAAAAAAAAAACAAAACGGATTTCGTGTTTCATAAGTCAGAATTATTGGTGAGACTCTTCAAAGTCTAACATTATATTTCTTTGGGGGTAAATCTAGAAAACACTGCCTGTATCCTTTCCTTTTGAAGGTGTGATTTTTGCCCCAGCAGCAGTCTAACATTAGTCACCAAGGACCACAAGCTCTCTGATCAGCCATCAAAAGAGAAAATATCCGTTTCCCCTCTACTCTTTCATCTGCTCAGTGTCAATAGCTTCACTACAAGGAGGAGTGGGTTTTTATGCTTTTGACGCATTATCCACTTGACTGATATTCTGAGTCGATAACACCGTGAGGATGGAGAGGGTTTCTTGCAGGTTTTGACACATTATTCACTCAACTTGCAAATCCTGTGGTGAGGAGCTCCAATTAGCTGATAGTGCTGAGTGCACACCTTTTCTGACTAGCCAGAGGTAACAGCTTCCCACCTCAAGCCCATATGGCCCACACTTCACACGGTATAATTACAGGCATCCACAGTTTGAGAGGGATGTTATGTGTTTGCATATGTGTGTAGGCACGACTGTAAAGTATATGCATATGTGAGACAATTTTAGCAGGAAAGGAAGGGTGTGGGCTGTACGGAGGTGGAGAAACAAAAGTGAGGGAGTAAAGGGGGACAAATGCGCACATACGCACACTCAGATGTGTTACTGAAGGTGTAAAAAAAATCAATGCAGTGCAGGCAAAGCTTTTCCACTCCTGGTGCAGGGTGTGAGATTGCTTTCTGTAGCGTTTAATTACAGCTTTAGCTCCAGACCAGCAGAGCCCCATTGATTTTCCTTTAGTCCCCCCCCTCAACCCAGAGGAGAAGACAAATAGAGAGGCTGGATCTGAGTATACAGAACAACCCCGGCAGGGGTAACACGGATAACTCTCAAAGCTACTTCAATGGGGTGTTACAGAAACAAAGTCAAAACTCTCCCAGGAGTAAATTCCACAGTGAGGGAGAACAATCATGTGTGAAAAACACACTGTGGGAAGAGACCCCAGAGGCAATGCATGAAAAATTCACATTTTCTAAAATATATGATTGAGATGGTAACGCAAATTTTTTTTTAACCTGCAGCCAGCTTGTTTTTAATTCTTTTTATTTATTAAACTCACAATGACACCTAGGTCTTGTTTACACATTTACATATCAAGGCTGGCAGTGTAGGCAATAGGGTGGATCCAAAGAAGCAGGTAAGAAAATCTGATGAAGTGTTTTAAAAAGCCGTGATGACAATGGAGAATTAGAGGTAAGCAATGTAACAGATACAGTCACCAGGCATGGTGGCTCTGAGAAAAGAGCAGCTGAAATTGAGCCTTTATGAATATTGAACAAATAAGGAAAACAGGAACAGGTGAGAAATTTGTGATTTATACTTCTGCAGCGGCAATGAAGCTATGTGTAGACAGAATGCTGATTGGTTCAAACTCTGCTTGAACAGGAAAGGCAGTGATAATAATAAACCCAGAGTAATAAACATCTGAATGGAAGCACAGACAATAGTTGCTTCTGATGCTCAGTTTTAGTTCACTGCAAAGAACTTCTTTGACTATTATGACTTCTGATTTCATGGCTGCAAGGTCGACACTGAAGGAACAACTTTAGCACAAACATGAACAAAAGCAGTCCACATTGTAGTCCGCTGATTTTTCACACTGCCCTCAAGTGACAGCACACATCTACAACATACTGATGTGGGTTGCAAAGCTCAGTGTAACACCTGCACGCTACAAAAGCAGTACCGTGCTGGGAGCTTAAGTGGTCGGGGTAAATCAGGTGAAACCGAGATGGAAGCAGAATCTGTGAGTGGAGAAATGCATGAACTGGCAAAGTGCGCCCAAAGGCAGAAATATAAATACATGCAGGAATGTAGGGCCTTTACATTACAATATAAAACATCTTGAGGGGACTGTGTTTGTGAAATGGTGTTAAATAAAAACAAATAAACAACTGTGACATCACACTGTTCCTGAGTACATTTGGAGCAACAGAGGAACAACTGGGTTAGCAACACCACAAACGCTGAAAACACCACAACAAACCCCTCATGTGGCTCACTGTTAAACAGATAAAGGATCTCTGAAAATGCAAAGCACCATTAACTGAATATAAAGGCAATATTATTATATTAAACTGCAGATAATCAAGAGCGCCAAACCTGTATGTTGAGCAGCAGGGAGTGGTAGCGGGCAGTGAGCTGAGTGGCCGTAACACTGATACGACTGCTGATGTAAGTTTCCTCCAGAACCTCCTGAGCTAAAGATGAAAGTCCATCGACTTCACTCTGCCGTGTGAGCACTGCCTCCAGACACCCCTGATCACAAGGGACACATAAGTTTTAATATTTTAGTTACATACTGCCAAAGCTATAGATGATTTATATGTCAGCAAAGTTCATTTAAAAGCCAGGTGTCAGAAAACGCATTACAAGCAAAACAATATAGGGCCTAGAAGGACAGAAGGGTGTGTGTGTGTGTGTGTGTGTGTGTGTGTGTATGGGGACCAAAAATTGGAATTTTACTACACTTGTGGGGACTGACAGCCCTTATGGGGACCAAAATCCCAGTCCCCACAACTTTGAAGGCATTTTTGAGACTCAAAAATGGAGTTAGTGGACACTTAGTGTCAGGGTTGCAATTGGGTTAAGGTCAGGTTTAGGGTAAGAGTTAGGTTTAGACATTCTTTTTTGATGGTCCCCACAAGATATGAATCCCCAACATGTGTGTGTGTGTGTGTGTGTGTGTGTGTGTGTGTGTGTGTGTGTGTGTGTGTGTGTGTGTAAATGCAAGGAAGGAAAATACTGAGACTCTTTGGCATCCTGACAGTGGCAGGAAGCATGCTCCAGAGGGAGGAGACCAAGTATGGGAAATACTGCTGTTTTATTTGAAACATGACAAAGTGATGCGCTGTAGTATAAAGTGACACAATGTTTCACAGCTTACAGCATGTGTGGCTGTGTTTTTAGGTTAGTTTGCTTCTTCTGTGTCCTGAAATGTAAATCACGAAACTGTGAGCTTGATATTCTTCTGTTTGGTTTTCAGTATAACCAGAAGGTACCTCTGACTGAAGTGACCAGTGAAATAAAAAAAATCATTTGTTGAAATATTATTAAACTATGGTATTCCATATGGTGGCTGGGATGGGCTCCAGCCCCTCCAGCGACCCTGAATTGGATTAGCAGAAGAAAATAGATGGATGGGTATCGCTAAACAATTTCCTGGCTGGGGGAAGTAGCTTCCTGAAGTCTCTACATCCTGGCCCCCAAAAATAAATTCTTCTAATAAGACAGCATGTTGTTCCCTTTTGAGCTTTACAGTGTTGACAGTTGCATGAAATATCAAGGGCCTGTATCTTATATGGACTGCAGCAATCAGGCCTCTTTCTCACCTGGAGTTTCTTCAGCTGAATCTGCTTGGTGGTTGCGTCTGACCTTCGATTACTTCTGATATTAGCTACCCTCTCCATCTCCTCCAGCCACTGTGCCAGGCTCAGGAATTTATGTCCCATCTGCCTCAGTCGGGTCAGCATTGAGTGCAGCTGGCCTTGAGTCTCCTTTAGACGGCTCTGATAGGCCGCCCACTCTCGCTGAGCGGTGTCCAGGGCTCGGTCCTCGATCTGAGGTATACCCCAGGGGATTACTCTCTCTCTGCTGGTGAGCACAGCGGAGAGTAAGGCTTGGCCATTTGAACAGTGCTCCTGCAGGTTCTGTGAAGAAAATGAAGAGTCAAGAACAAAGTAAATACTGGAGGCCACTGAAGACTTAAAACATTTAGAAAGGGTTAGGTGTTAGGTGCTTTACTTTTGAAAAATACGACTATGTGTAGGCAGGGTTAAAAGTTTGCAGCTATTCTCTTCTCTGATCATAACCATATAGAGTTGACATAAAACTCCACAGTGTTTCTACCTGTAGCTGCTGCAGTGTATTCTCAAGTGTATCCACGTTTCCCTCTGGATGGGACAATGAGGCCAGAGAGGCCTGCTCCTTCTCCAGCCAGTCCTCAAACACATGTAACCCCCTTTGATACTCCTGATGCACCAGCACCAGCTCCTTGGCCTTGCTGACTGCATTCTGCAAAAAATAAACAAGACGCAAACATTAATGGATGAAAGCAGTTCATTTGTTCAGTATTACAGGGACATTTGAAATTTGAATAATGTAAAATTAAAAGTTGGAGAGATTAATGTCTATCAATTAAAATGCTTTCTGATTACAGACTTGAAGCTCAAAGAGAAATATGTGTAATGATTTTACAATAATTATTAGGCAAGTCAGTAAAATTTTCAACAAGTTCATGCCCTTCAGTATTTTGGGGAATATAATTAATAATAATTAATTTCTGAAAAAGCATGAAGCAAGCTTTTAAAGAAATACACTCAAACTATTCGGTTATTATTCAAATGCCTGCAGAGGGAAAATGAAGCTGTATGTTCTGGGTAAGCACCTTAGCCTTTTCTTTGAGGGAGTTGTATCTACACTGCAGCTGCTGCACCTCCTGCTGTGTCGTGTGGTGTTCAGTCATATTGGAACCCTTTGTGGCAATGGTCTCCAGAGGACTGCTATGACTCAGTACTTCCTCATAGAGAAGCTGGAAAGAAAGGAGAACCCATAGATCATTGCAACTGGGATGCTCTGAGGTATAAATGTAACTGCATGAATCTAAAGCGGATAAATGGCTAAAATATTAATTAAATTAAAATTACAGTCAGGCTAATCTAAATACAGAGTTTGGATAGTCTACAGTGGCATTTGATACCTTGGTCTTTCCCAGGTTAGCAGTCTTGTCTCTCATCTCAGAGTACTGTCTGTCTGAGCAGCTAAGCGTCTCTTCAACCCGATCCATCCACTGCATAAACTGACCCACGTCCTCTTGATAGCTGGTCCACTGCGACAGAGCACCTTCCAGCTGACTGTGACCATAAATAAGGCAAAGTTAGCACAGAGGGAACAAACAAGATTCTGAACAGCTAAATCTAATAATCCCTTTAACCTTTCAACTAGCAGAAATCCATCAAGGGAAACTAGGCAGTTCCCAGTCCCATTTATCAAAGACTGACAGATTAATTGCCCCATGCTCACCTTTTACACTGGATTGAGGCAGACAGCAGTGAGTCCCACGAGTCTTTGAGGTCTTGGATCTGTTTGCGAATCACCGGGACTCCCTCAGCTGAAGTGTTCCTCTGGACTGCCTCTCCCCGCGTCAAGAGCATTTTTAGCTGGATCTCCCTCTCCTGACGGGCAGTTAGTAAGGCCTACAGATAGAGGTGAACACACAGACAGAAAATAACTCTCTAAAGGGTAAAATGCATCTCGCCCTGTTTCTTTCTAAACCATTAAAATAGATGCAACATATCTACAGATAAAACTTGTGTCAAGTCAGAAATCTGCACTTGCATGGTTTGTAAAATAAGCCTGTGTAATGTTTACTTCTGAAAATTTTAAACACAATATCTCAGTTACAGTGATATAGCCCACGTAGGGCTCAGTCACACAGGCCTAGAGACTGGTCGGCAACAGGGCAACACCAGTCTCTATTCTAGTCGGTAGTCTGGAGGTTTCCTGCTGTCGCTGGGTGAAATCACTTGTAAAGAGGGTGCTGACTGATAACCTTCTTGTGATTGCTTTGGTCACTAACAGATTGCTGCAATCCTCCGTTTCTTGCATGGAAACTGACTTATCTGCCAGCACTCTACAACTTCTTGGTAGGTGGCTGTGAAATTGTGAAGCCTGTGACGCAAACAAGAAATGGAGAACCTTGTCTTGGTTTCAACGGTAAGGCATAACTTTCACGGCTTATTGTTTTTTTTTTTAATTACACTGCTGCTTGGTTGTTGGTTGCAGCTGTTTGCTGGTAATTTGGTATCTTGTGTGCAACCTGCAGGGGACCACAGCAATCTGTACAGCTCTCCGCAACAAATTTAATCAAGCTTCAGCAACCACACGCCAACTTAATGGGGAATACTCATTTTTGTTCCTAGCGGCCAGCAAAGAAAAGTCTTGCTAGGAAAATGTGCATGAATGGACTTTTTGTGTATCCCTTTAAAGAACTCCATCCATGTCTTCCTTCCTTACTTCAAGTTGTAACATCCGGTCCTCCAACAAGCCCTTGTCTGTAGTGGTGGAGATGCAGGTGTTGAGGACCCGCTGAGCCTCACACACCCAGTCCTGGAGCTCTTTCAGTCCTTCAGAGAAAAGGCGGTGTTCCCCTACAATGCGCTCAATCCTGGATGCCTTGTCCTGTTAGATATTAAAGTAGAGTAATGTGACTATACTCCTCAAGTCTTTCCTTACCAAAGAGTTTAACATTACACGTGTTTCCAGTGAACAACAACAGTTTCTTCATATTTTTCTGTGTTCGTGTTTGAAATTACAGCCTTGTTTTCCCAGATAGACATCTCTAGAGACTCTCCCACCCACATGTTATAGCACAAGAAAAAAAAACGCATTGTGTTTTCAGTCATCACTCATACATCTGCAACATCTGTGGATCTGCAAAGCGCAGAAAGTAAAAGCTTCAATAACTGGTGGCAATTTTTGAAGTGTTTTCATTCCTGTTTCCACGTCTAGGAGGGAAGAGGACCTAAAAATAGCACTTAACTGGCTGGCCAGCAAAGTAAATAAATCCCATTCATCATCGCCGGGGTACTCTCATTGTCCCGAGGTAACAGAATGGTGCTCTGTGGTCAGCGTAATATTTTGTTCTGTGATGTATCAAATTAATCATACGAGTGCGACCACTTTAATGAGAGCTCCACAAAGGTCAGCTTCTCAAGCAGTGACACATTTCAGCTGTGACATTTCAGAAGTGCTTTAGTGGATAAAGGTACGCTGCACAGTCTTGGCCCTTTTATGCTGATGAGGCTGCAAGCACAAGGGCGTTTTAGAGGTAAGAGAGATTACTGAGCTCAGGTAAATTACTCTGGGAACCAGGTCTTCCCTTGGAGACATGACTAATGTGCAAGGGGGCAGCAGTCCATGACACGGCAGATCATACAACAAAACAGCGAACACCACAGCTGGACAGAAAGCTCTTTAGTGTTTATCAAGAGCACATGGGTTAAGCAAGGCACATTTCAGCACACTGTAGCAGTCTGTGATAGAAGCAGAGCATAAAGAGAGGAAAGGCAAGAAATAAGGTTACAAGGCGTGAGCGGTGTTACCTTGGTTAAGTTGCTGAGGGCTAGGTATTGTGCTGACAGCTGAGATACTCTATGGACGAAGCCCTTTCCGGCTGCTTGTCCCTCCCAGAGTCGATGAGCTCTTTCCCTCAGCCTGCCCAGCTCTAACTCCTGACACGCCATCTCCTCCAGCACACACTAAGCCGATGTGAAGCAGGCAAGTGGTGGAAAAACAGAGACGGAGCAATTGGATGTTGGTGAGCGCAGGGTACAGAAAAAGTGATGGGTTGGAAAGTATGGTTGTGTGTGAGCACCATTAGAGGTGAAAATGAAACAACAGAAAACATAACATTTTTCATGACAGCAGAGACACGAGGCAAGAGAAGCGCAGAGGAGGAGGGATATGGGATTAACATGTCACAAGTACACACTAGAGCACATCAAAATACATGGATAAAAACAGAGGAACACGAGCATCAGCAGTATTTCTCCTGATGTTCACTTTTACATATAAATGCTGTTATTAGGTTAGACACCACAGCAAAGAAGAGGCACAGGAGACACGGCTGATAACGTAATCCAAAGACGGGTTGTATACATGTTAAAGGGTAAGGAGGATTTTCCCTACATGAGTTCAGAGACTGAAGCCTGTGTGTTTTATTGTACTTCAGGTGCTGTGGGAAGAAATGTAATTGCTTGCAGGGACCAGACAAAAGGCAATGACGAGAAGTGCTAAAGTGGGGGACAGAATAAATATAAAAATAGCAACAATGATACGAGCAGAGCTTTGAGATGGGTTTGATTTTTTTTTTCCCTTTGTCAGTTTTATCTTTTTTAACGCTTCATGCCTGTCTTCCCTTTTTGTCTCTGCCAGACATGGCAGAGGCTGTTATCGCATCCTGAAAAAGGCCTTTTAGCCACGCAGTGCTTCAGCTTTGACAGAAGGAGAATTAATTAGATTTCTGGACTTTTCTTCTGACTATTGTGTCAAGACGCAGCTCTATTTTGATCCAGTGGTGCTCGAAAAATGTAATTAGGTCCTTCTCTTCTCCCCAGTGAATTGAAATTGTACTTCAGGGATCCATATCTGATGGAGAGCTGACTATTTAGTATCCTTGGAAAATCTACTTAATATTCAATTTGCGGTGTAATGACAAGGTTTATTTGAGTGAAGAGAGGAAATTAGAAAACATCAGTGAGAGCAGCTGAGAAGAGAAATGTAAAAGGGGCAGCCTCACTAACGTAATGCAATTTAACAGTAAATGGACCCTACAGTATTGATTAAAATGTCCTGATGTACTGCTACAGGGGTGGACTAACAGATTGACCCTTCATCAGCCACAATAACCGCAGAAGTAATGTCATTGTAAGAGGACTGTAATGTCCAGGGAGAATCATGAGCACGACTGTGGGCTTCACAGTACCTGTAGTTTGCTGAGCTCCTGCTTCTTGGCTGGAAGGTCATGTAGGCGAGCACTGCTCTCCTGAACTCTGACCTCTGTGCTGTTCAGCCATTCCTGCAGAGGCTCAGCACTGGCCTCAAACTCTGTCATCTGGGCCTGCAGGTTCTGCAAATGTGAAGTAACTTGTTAAATACACATTTTGAGGTTCTGAATTTGCACAAACTGTACAAATATCAGAGAAAGTGAGCATTCTGATAAAAAAAATGAAACTAATGATTGCTTGCTTTCTTGCACATTAAATACACTTTGATGTAATTTTGCAGCCATCTGCTAAGCACGGAAAACAATGCACCAACCTTGAGAGCATCTTCTCTCATTTGCAGGTTATTCATCAAGCTCTTCCAGTCTTCTCTCGCATTTGCCACCTTGGCCTTGATTCCCTCCACCCTGTCCTTGGACACTACAGCCATCAGCAGCTCCCCACTGGCTCCTACTGTACTAAGCCTGGCCTGGCCATTCTCCCTGTCACTCAAGAACTCCTAAGGGGATACAGTACACAGACAAAGACAAAGGAGCAGTGACTATTTAACTGAAGCACGCACACAAAGGGAGAAGGGTGTGAAAGGAGGGGAAAAAAAGACTGAATGACTATCCCAAACTTCTTCTTTTTTTGCCTTTTGCTGCAGTGCCTGATGGGTAACAAAGCCATTCTCTACATTGTCAACAAATTTTCTCTCAAGGTCCCAGAATGTGACCCTACATTGTGAAAAGCAGTAATTACATTAGATGAAGTCATTACTAATTCTACATGCATATGAAGAAGTGGCCTGACCCACAGACGCAATAACAGATAAGGGAAGTCAATGAGCCTGAAATGTGTCTGCTTTTTTTTTTTCTTTTTTACAAAGCGCCTTCATACACACCCACCGGCAATGTACACACACATATTAGGATAAACACGCATATGCAGCATGCACACACACAGACACCCCTCCCTCTGAGCTGAGCCGATGACAGTAGCGCAGCAGGGACCACTCCACCATCTGTGCAGTCAGCACATCACTTACACACACTATCTAGCTTCAGCCTCCTCAAAACACACACACACACACACACACACACACACACACACACACACACACACACACACACAC